TATCATAGTCACGTATCACATTGTTTTATCGACGTAAGTAGAATTGGTTCGGAAAAACCGCAGTGGGGATCTGGTTACACATAGTGGTGGTGCGTGCCAAAAATTTCCTTCTCAGTTGAGGAACGAAGGACGTCGAGGTGATGTCGGGGTGGAATAGTTCATATGCATCTTTATCCTTTATTGATACGATAATTTTAATCCATAATAACCATACGAAACTTTACAGCCCTGGTAAGATAGCCTGGCTTGGTTGTGACCACTGGTCCACGTTTTGACTTAAAGCCGTAAAATTACAAAAATCATGGCTACTGTCATGACAAAAATATTGAATAGTACGATTTTACTAAGCCCGAATATTTTAATTAATTCTTCGTCGTTTTGCGGACACTGCGATTTCTTTGAAGCTTTTCATTGTGAGATTTTCAAATTCTTTCGTAACTGGGTAACTCCACACTAATACCGAATCGAAGTACGTTTTTTAATTTGCAAAAATTGTTTGACAAGCAAAGGAACTTAGCTGGGATTACTTTTTCCTGTCATACTTATAGCGAAGATTATTGGCGTCGTAATTAAGCGTGCGATTCTAAAACTAGATTTTCTATTATTATGAGCAATTAACTGTTAATTAGAAAGAGCTAGAGTTTGTAAGATTGTAGAGGGTAATCTCTGTATCTACAGAATCGATTTTGAAACGACTTCTACTTATGGAAAGCCGCGTTATTTGCGACTCATTGCAAAAACAAAAAAACACGGTCGAATAAAAATGTTTCTCACGAACCATGAGAGATACATGATCTAGAGAAAACTTGTACAGATTGATACTACAAAAAGTCATTATAGCATCAGTCATTTGATAATTTATAGTTTGGTCAGCTAGTATTATATATGCTTGCTCTGACGCATAGTGGATGAAAAACTACGTTAGTTAAGCTTCTTGCCTACAAAAGATAACTATAAAAAACATGTTCAATCGACGCAAATTCTCATAATGACTTGTAAAGCCACTGGATTACTACTAACAGCTACTCCTACTTACATCAATTTTTTCTATGTATCATGATTTAAAACTTTTTTTTACTGTATTCATATTATCATAATGAAAATTTAATATAACTAATTTAGTATTTACAATATTCTTAACATACATTATTATTATTATAAAAGCTTTGTTAATCCATACAATAATTAATTAGTTTACATACCTTAATGTTAGTATTTGTTGTGTTTGCATAAGTTTTAAATTATGGCTCCTTTTAAGGTAAAAGCCTCCTCCATATTTTCAATTTCTCTTTGTCTTGAGCAACATTCATCCAGTTTTTCCCCGCTAGTTTCATAATGTAATTTGTTCATCTCTTCTTTTTTCGTCCTATACATCTCTTTCCAGTAGGAAAGATGGATACTAGAAATATCAAAATGGCCAGTCCATTTTATCCCGACTATAACAATATGACCTGCCCATTTCCATTTAACCTATATAGTATAATAATAATCAAAATATACAATTATATTTTATAAGTAAAAATTAATAAATAGAAAATAAAACAAATTTAAAAAGTATGGTGTACCAGTGTTCCTCCAACACAGGCAGCATTTCCTCTCTGTATTGCGATACTTATTCGTTGAGCGAGGAAAGCACTGCTCCGGAGTCACCGGTACTATCTACCAGACGCTAACTTAAATCTTTAATAAGCACCTGTGCACTTGAACCCAACGGTCCAAGTGTCTCTTCGCCAAATGGAACAAAATGGGAGTTGGAGGAAAGACCTGGCAGTCTGTAATTTAAGTGAGACCTAATAACTTTTGGAATTCCGATTTAGAATTCATTCCTTTTGAAAGTTGACAGTAGAAGGCAAACTCAAGCCTGGGTTGGATGCTAACCACGCATTTCTCGCACCTGCTAAATCCGCAATCTCGTAGTTTGTAGAATAAGATCTGAAGATGTTACCTACCTGACTAGAAATTTGAATTCTCAAATTATACCAAAAACTCAACGTAACTAAATGCAAGTATATTTTTCATTTCAACTCGACAAAAAATGATACACTCCTTGCAAATAGAATATTCAACATGTTATGTTTGAATAAAGCCGAGCTGGGATGTTTCGTTTTTCTTTCTACGTTATGTTCATGCCATCCTCGGAAATTTTAATTGAACATCAATTTCCATAATGCTGATATATATAAGCATACGTAAGCTGCCTTAATTGTACAATATTTTAAAAGTAATAAGCTAGTATTAAGGTATGATTATATATATATATTTCTATAGATACCTACAGTAGACGAAAAAGAGGGAAACAACTTATAAGGTGGATAGACCACATTAAAGAGACAGCAGGTGGTACATGGCAGAGAGTGGCACAGTGCAGCGAGGAATGGCGGAATTTGAAAGAGGAATTTGCCAAAAAAGGGCACACAGTTACACTAGAAGAGGATTTAAATGGAAATGTGTTTAAATGTGAATGTATATGAATTAAAGGATATTATTATTTCTATAGAATAGAAATGCCACGCCCAATAAATTTTACTAGAAATGTGTGATGAAGTCTCCTTGTTGTTTATACTGCCCATTAATTATAAACAAATTACTTTTTTAATATAAGCGACTCCAAATTAGAGAAAAATGTCGGAACGGTATGTTTCTTATTTGATTTAGCTTTATATTTTAAAGTGAAAAGTGTTGGCCTAGTAGCTTTAACGAGTGACTCTCATCCCTGAGATCGTAGGTTCAATAGGCTGTGCACCTATGGACTATCTATGTGCGCTTTTTGGTCTAAGATCCCGATATACAACAATTAATTAAACATACTCTGGACTGAAATTTGCTAGGCAACCCATATGGATTATATTTATTGACATATTAAATTAAATATAAAATAAGTTTCATTAAATAAGCATCTCGGTGAAGGTCTTATACTATTTAACATTCGCTCGTAACCATTTTTAGGAAACCCCGACATCTCTTCCGCAAAATGTTATCGGCGTTTGACAAGTCTGATCACCTACTTAGCTATTAGAAAAAACAAATAATCACGAAACAGATGCAGAAATCTGACGCCCAGATCTTAAAAGGTTGTAGCGAAACTGTTTCTTTTAATATTATTAATTAAATGTATTGACCGTGATCTCCGTCGACATCGTTATATATATATTATTCCATTTTTAAATTTCAGTGACGTTCAAAAATCATTTATTCAATAAGGTAACACAATGTACACTTATGAACTTCAAAAAAGAAATATACATTAAATGCTTCTCAAATCAAAGGCGTAGAACGGAAGAGAAGAACTGGCAGTAAACTCTCCGCCACTCTCTTTAATCGCCAAGATTTTTCTTTTACACAACGTTTATAAGGAGCTGCAACTTGAATTCTTCGAATTCAATTCTACGATATGCAAAGATCATTGTTAAATGATAAAAAGAAATTAATTCATTTCCACGGTGTCGTTACGAGACTTAAATCGGACGGACATTACAAATCCATTTACATTAAATCTAGTTGATAACGCCGCAAGGCAAACCACAGATTTACGGATTATTCCACTTTTGGGATTGAAATTTATGCCAAGATATTTATCATTGGCTAAAGTTCTACATTAATCTTCACTTAAAATGTTCCAAAAGTTTACATGATTCTCGTATGCAACTTTGTTTCAACTTTAAATCTTTCTCCACTTGTGCTTAATAATAAGATTTATAATTGAAAATCGGTGTCCTACACCTTAATAAATAAAAATAAAGAATAAATTAAATGTTGTTGAATCATTATATATTTTAGTACAATAAAAAAACTTTATGGAATTGCGAATTAAGTTTATTTTCTTATCACGATACTAATATCAAAATAAGGAAGTAATATTTTATAAAACTTATGATTAAACTGTCAAAGTTTTATATTTTTTTGTAACACAAATATTATTTCATTTCATTTACATTATTATGGGTATATTTTTACTTATTTAAATTAATTCTTTTTACAAATGTATAACAATCCCCCATTTCTTCCTTCCAACAATCATAATTGCGATTTATTCTAAGTTCCACTTAATTTTAATTTTATCAGAACGATTAGCTCTAACAACAATGTATTAAATGCTAACATGACGTCTTAGTCAAAACTTTGTATACGAAAATATCGATTTTATTTCAATCATATATACAGATGTGACTTTAAGTAAATCTAGAACTACCCAAATGGCAAGAAATGCAGCCATCTCCGCCAAGTTCAATTTAAGTCAGGGAGTTTGTTATAATTAAAAATAAAAAAATAGTTAATCTGTATTGATTGGCATTGTATTTAAGACAATTATTTCTCTTAGTAAACTGGCAGGAGTATCACTTTATGTTAAGTAACCATGGACACTCTCAATGCCAGAGGGCTTGCAAGTGCGTTGCCTATTAAGAGTGGTACGCTCTTTTCTTGAAACATGTGCGTATAAAATATGACAAACAAAAGGTTACTGATTGATATGAAGTTAACAGTAAACAGAAATAACTTCAGTATAATCTTATATATTATGGCCAAGGGCTTGAGACAAAACACTACAGCGTGACCCAAGCCAAACAAACGTATGGAAACGCTCAAATGACAAAGCGAATAGGTTCGGAAAAACTTCCAGGAATCTGACTCCAGATAGTGGTGGTGCGTGCAAAAAACTGACATAAATAACGCTCTGTTGTGAAACGCCGGACGTCGAGGTGATACAGGTGAAATTTCTTATTCTGCCTCAATGTCCGACGATGAACCAATTAATACAAAAGAAATAGTTAAGGATCTAATTAGGACATACATATTTGGGAACACGGAGGGGTTATGAAAATACACCAAAAATTTACACGTTTTATAAATGCTTTCTGTTTTCTTTTGAAGTCTTCTAAAATCTAATTGTCATAAGAAAACTTAATTTTATTGTCGTGTTGAATTTGGAGTGACACGAACGCAATTCAGACTGTATATACGAGCAATGTGTATGTGTGTATGTTTATGAATAGAGATGTCTTCTACGAACAATATTTTTCAACAAGTGTCCTTCTCATAATCTTTCCCGACGGGTTCTTGGGTATTTCGTTAAGAAAAGCAATTTCCTTAATGCGCTTGTATGGCGCAACTCTTTTACTAACAAATGCTAGGATATCATTATCACTTGTGTTTTTGTTGTCTTTCAACACCACAAAGGCTTTTGGCTTCTCCCCAGTGATTGGATCTGGTATAGGTACAACTGCTGCGTCGAAGACATCTGGATGTTCTTTTAAAACACTTTCTAGTTCAGCTGGAGCGACCTGGTATGCGTTGACCTGGAAATGGATTGTTTATAACATCACCGATACGGTCCATAGCGCATTTTTTTTGCTGTGCTATTTCTACACCAAGTAATAAGGTTTGGGGGGGGAATTGACTACCTCGTTGGTTTAGTAGTTGGCACGTCAAAGAAGAATGTTATGTTCTCATAAGTGAAATTGAATTAAATTAAAAATAATTATTAATTTGTTAAGCTATTGAGAATATTGACAATTAGTGATTCAGTGTTAGTACACGTTAGTCTTAAGTGCTAAACAGTGGTCAGTATAAACATAGTACATAAGAACAGAGTGTCTTCCCTTTAATAGAAACTGTAAGTGATATTGGACACTTTTTGAAGTTATACTTCTTTAGGCGCGTTATGAAAAATTTTACGATGCGTGCACCGTAACACAAAATTATCAGTATGGGCGCCAAGCGTGCGCGAGCGAGATCGGAATAAGATAATCTACAAGTAAAAAGAAATAGAATATGCGTGACGTTAGCAGCTATGCCAAGAATTTTTAATGACCATAATGACATTTGTAGTACCTTTTAATTAAACAAATAAAGGAGTTTTAATTATTTTTTCAAAGAAATTTAGCAATGCAATCACATAGACCTATTGTTACTTAGTTAAAAGGTTAAGAAACATACCTAATTATTAAATTGAATTAATAATATAATAAAATAATAAATAATAATTATTATTAATATTAATTAATAATTCAATAATATACCAAATATTAAATATTGTTAAATAATTAACGCTAAATATTCATTATTAATTATTTAATATTTAAAAAAAATCAAGAAAGCCAAAGAAGTTATAACTTCTTACGCGCGTACATAAGTACACGCACCATTTTTTTATGTTATTATTAGTAAATCAGTTTAGACTTAAATTACTTATTAGTTTTAAGTTAGCCTAGATCGTAATGTTCCATGATGTCTCAATGTAGACGCTATGAGCACGCAGAGCGCAGACGTTAGACTTTGCACGCGTACCTATTTGTGAGCCGTAATATCCGAAAACTCGGATAAATATATGTATTTAATATCGCGTTTATATATGTTAAAGCGGTTAGTGGTTTTCTCAAGATTATACGTGAAAAAAAAATTCAAGTCAAGTTAATGTATTAATTAAAATTCAATTATTTAATTAAATTTTGGTATTATACTTAAGTTTATCGAAATGTTGTATATTATACCTTGATCAGCTCCTTTAACCTATCAGCAATGGTTAGTACTCCATCATCAGAAATACTGGCCAAATCACCACTCCGGAACCAGCCATCTTCAACCAACGCCTGCTTGTTGGCTTCGGGGTTATTTTTGTATCCTTTCATAACGTTAGGCCCTTTTATTAGTAATTCTCCAACCTATAAAGAAATTTAATAGTATTTATTTATTACAGCCATTTTAACCGACTTAAAAATGTGTCATTTCTATATAAAATATACCAATGTTTCTGATATTGTTGGAATGATAATATTAAAATGATGATAGTCTTCCAAGCACGTGTGTTAATCGTCGGTGTATGTTTGTCCACAAATTTCTCGGAAACTAAAAGTCATACCAAGATCGTATTCTAAATACGTAATTTTTTTAACTACCATTATTCAACTCATTGTTGGGATAGTGTATGTTTTAATTTATGACATACGGACATATATAGGCAGTGTGCAAAATTAAAATTCTAATCTTTTTGGCTGATCTTACATAAACAATCATATTTTTAATAATTAATGTGACACATAACAGAAATATAAATTATAGAGTTTGCGAATCACACAATTTGCCTCAAAGGTATAATGATAATAATAATAAAAATTATTTCCAAACAATGTTACAATTAAGTATATATGAAACAGACTCTTAAATCTAGTTTTTAAGTATAGAAACCCTATGGGGCATAGGCCTCCACCAACCCCTTCCAAAGTAACCTTCATTGGACTCGCTGGGCCCACGTTTCGCCGGCCAGCTGCACTAGGGCGTCGCACTTTGGAAAATGGTAGAACAACGGCATATTATCAAAAATCGTTTTTCCTAATGTTGTTATTGACGCACTTTTAAATTTTATTGAATAGTATAAGAGTGAAACTTAAATATAATGTAGTAAATTTGCATGATTTTCATTTGGAATATGTTTTTTTGAATTCCGCAAAGTAAGAATGTCTATTTCAGATCTGTTCGCTTCAATCTTTTAACTTCATCGAGACTTTTGACAATTGCCGACGTATCCCGGTGCTTTAAATTATTGTTGTTTTATAATATAGTAGAAAAAATAACTTTTTATTCACTATATTGTCGATAAAAGACGTTTCTTTAAATTGTTGTTTTTATCATTTATTTATTTTTGTTTGAAGCCCTATTTAATACCCTATGCGTGTGTAAAAATTCAATAGTCTTTCTTGACAAATAAAAAAGTTATAGATTGTTTATATGAAACAGACCTCGATTTTCTATAGTGCGTCGAACCAATGCAACGGTACACCTTGTTTATAAATCTCTTTTACCAATTGTCCATTCATGTACTCTTGGAAATATTCTTATTTTGATTCATTCAACTGAGAATTATTGTCATAAATATATACGTACTATTAGAAGATAAGATAATATATAAATTTAGTCCATGACAAATTTAGTCGATTCGAGTTAAGGCTGAGTAACTCATAAACAAACAATGGTGTGACAAACTCTATAATAGTTTTGTTTAAACATTAATTAACACGTGATATGAGGTCAGATACTAAAAATTTCGTTTGTGCTATAATTAGATGTTTTTGATGGTGCTAATAGGTTAGCACCCACGTTTAATTAAGACATTCTAACGCGGCGTGACAGAAAGCAATGGAAAGACGCGTGCTAAAAATAAGAAGAATACATAAAGTAAAAGGCGGGAAAAGAGGGCGCCTATAAAAACGGGAGAGAAGATAAAGAAGCATTACCAGGAAGCTGGAATGGAGAAAGACTACTAAGAGTACTGAAGGAAGTTAGGATGTCCAGTAATGAGAAAAGATTTTTATATAATATTCAACATTTGTAAAGATTGGAAAAAACGAGCTTTATAATAATTATTATAGAACCTATTCAAACCTACAAGATTCTTCATTCAATAATAACAAGAACCTGCTAAAACTCAAGATGGCGTACCTGTGATGTACCATGCTTGTAAACACGCAAACAAACGCGGCTTAATTTCATTCAAATTACATAAATTATATATTTCAATCAAAGACAGTCTCCAACGAAATGAAACTCCAAGACTGTATTGGGTATACACAGATTTTGATACATTAATTATGACTAGTAATCAAAATATTGTACAGATTATAATAACAGTTTATTTTTCATACTGTCAAATATTACCCAACAATTATAAATAAATTGGGGGCCTACTATTAACTTTCTTAAAACAATCTAGTTGAGATGCTGATGAGTTTAGGTTCCTAAAGTCAATAGCATTTTTTCGTACTATGACCGCCTATAAGCTGAAACGTATTGGCATCGCAAGACCGAACTACAGAACGATAATTTAGTTTGGGGTTTCTATGTAAGTTTAGAAATTTAACTGTCAAACTTTCTTTGCAAGATGTTTCTCTAAAAATAAATAATAATTCATCAATCACAATAAGCAATTATGTCTTAATATATCATCTTAACTGTTCTGTATTATGACATTATGTTAATTAATTTATCTGAATGTACCACTTTCCTTGCAAATAAACCATTCATTATTTTTAAGAAAATTTCATTGAGGCCATATGAAGCATATAAAAACCTACAAGAGTTGTGTGTTACCTCATTAGGTCCTAAATTATTTGATTCGCTATCAATTATCCGAAGCTCGACGTTTGGTATAGCATAACCAACAGATGTATAGTTCTTGAAGCCAAGAGGTGCTAATGTTGCAATTGGACTTGTTTCCGTTAAGCCATACGCTTGTCCAACGTGAACATCTCTCTGAAACATACAATTCCGTTACAGTTAATCCTCATATATCCTTACATCATTATAAAACGCCACCTGCGTGCTGGTGCGTTGCTCTGTGTAATCGCGAGAAACTTAAGAACTACCGAATGAATTTAATAACAACTCAGCCATAGTGATGATTCCGTATGGTTTAATATAGTAGTGTTGTCCTAGTGGCCGGAGGTCGTAAGTTCTATCCCGGCTGAGCACCAATGGGCTTTCTGTCTATGTGCGCATTTAACATTCGCTCGAACGGTGAAGGAAAACATCGTGAGGAAACCGGCTTGCCTTAGACCCAAAAAGTTGACGGCGTGTGTCAGGCACGGATCTCCTATTTGCCTATTATATTGACAAATGATTATGAAACAGATATAGAAATCTGAGGCCCAGCCCTACATAGGTTGTAGCGTCACTGGTTTTTTAAGGTTATTATATAATAGTTTTATGTTAATAGAATAAATTATAAGGTTAAGTTAAAGAGGTTGCCAAAAATCTTGCCATAATACGTGGGCAAAGCTACGCGCGTACTCAGTTACCTACCTCTCTATATAGTCAGCTTATGAATGAATGAATTTTGGCTTTACCGAGTGTATGGATACGCTATTTGATGTGAAATTCAAATAATTAATTTATTATCCTTTTTCTATACGAAACATTCATTTAAAATAATTAAACATAACATTATTCTAAATTATTGAATATTCGGCCTGCTTATACTTTAAAAATCTTCAACAAAATGTAATTAAGGGTACGTGAAGCTTAAAATAATTATTATGTTATTAATTTAATTAAATTATTCCTTAACGTAATTTGGTAACGTCTACGAAAAATAACAAGAGATTTCTAATATCTATGAGGGTTCAGATATTTTGAGAATAAATCTTGCTATTTTAACAACAATAATTAAATTTATATAGTTATTCATTGATTCGTCAATGCAGAGACTAATATGCTTGTAGACTTCTTCCCGTTTCAGATTCAAAGTCGAGACAACCAAAGTGTGTCTCCCGATTGTGAATCAAACATAGGAAGTCAGAAAGGACTGCGGCAGTCTGTTCGTGGCCTATCAATAAATGTTCACCATAGCCATACATACTTTATGAAGTGGTAAATAAATATTTTGATACATATTAAAATGGTAAGGTTATTGATGTGTATTAGATACAACAGGACTCTTGTAAAACTCTCAAGTTTTAAGAGAAAACTTTAATATGTTTTTTTATTATTTATGGAAACCAACCTACCTACTTAGAAGGTTATGTATAAGTACAGGCTAAAGTAAGACCAGATAATACGCCAATTTGCTCTCTTGAACTGCGTTACAATTGTTACTTGAATCTTATATTTGGAAACACAGAGGCTGGGAGGGATGCATTTTACATGCTTCCGAATGAAACAGTTGCCAATTGAAGAAGACTTATTTTACAGTATCTTTTGCAGTGCTGAAGGTATGCAATGAAGTTCATTTTTAAGTTTTTTTGTATCTACGGTACGCCCGTCAAGTCGCGGCACTAACAAAAACATAAAAGATATGGTCAGCATATCAATATTACAAATCTTTATGAATGAATGTATTATTATTTATAACCTCACTATAGAATGATAACCTTGTATGTCCTGAGAACCAAACATTACAGGAAACGAAAAAAATGTTTCATTTTATCAATATTCGTGAAAATATTATTGTGTTTTTGTCCATAGTTTTGGATGGTAAAAAGGACTTATTTATTAGTAACATAAGTAAGTCCTTACTTCATGATTATACCAGTTAAACGACATAAGAGTCTAATAATAAAAACTAAATGGTTTTTTGACATACGAGGTTATCATTCTACAGTGACGATAAGATGTTGTTAGGTTAGCTAATTATGTAATAATTTAAGACAGATAGTCTGAATAAAATAACCGAGTTGGTATTACATGGATCTCACTACTTTTTACGATAGTAACGCAACGCGTTGCGAAACTTGTTTTTTAAAAGTTATGTTTCTGACGGCATAAAATCTATAGATTTCTGCAGGCGCTAAGTTTTGTTCGCCAATCTTATTTCATCACCTCACCTAATTAATAAACTTATTTCTTATGCAAATGACAAATAATTTTTGATTTCCAAAAGAAAACTTCTTTTAAAAAATAGTAAATTATTAATATTAATAATATTACCTCAACTTTATTCAGAAACGCTTCAATATCAGCTTTGGGTAACGGTGCTCCTCCAATGGTGACAGATCTGCACCGCTCCATATGCTTTGCCTTCACTCCAGGATACGAACTCAGGAAAAGCACTAAAATTTTTATAGAAAATGTACCCGAATCTCGGAATTGTCTGTAAACTGAGTGACGTTAAAAGAAATCACGTATAAGTAATAATAATAACAATAATAAACTTTATTTATGACAACATTCATGTATGGCTAGTCCCCACACTGGGAGTCCCTATGTTGTGGGTTACTAGATAACAATCATTCCGTGGTAAGTATGAGTGAATGTGTGAGTGGGTGAATGGGTGTGTATGCACATGAATTTGAGAGTTATTATGATAGTGCGGTGTGCCTGTTAGTTTTTGGACCTCATTAATGAACAAACCGATTTTATTTTGATTTTTATTGAATATTACTCTACACCTTGAATATTATCAAATTGCGTGTCAATCTTGCTAAACAGAAACATCAACAGTAATATAATTATTATAATGAAAGGTTGGTCAAAGCCTGCACAACATATGCCACGTCAGTCAGTGCCCCGTCTTGAGACCCTCAAGAGAAAAGGCACTGACGATATATACATATTTATAATTGTAGTCTATGGTCTATTGGTCGTGTTCTGTGGTTCTATGTAAGAATACTGTATCTCCAAGCACTTGGTTGGTTATGGTTGAGGTATGAATGGCAGCCTATTTTTAGAGAATGGAGATGGCATTTAATTGTTGAATGTATTTAGTAATACTTTTAGCTACTACTCCTCCAATAACTATCGGTATTTATTTATCAATAACAATTACTAATATAATCATGTATATGATTAGAAAAATATATAGTAATTGGTATTTTTGTCCCCAAAGATCTAACTCAAAGAGAGTATTGTCCTAGTGGCGTGAGCGGCTGTGCTCCAATAGACGTTTATTTTTATGTGCGCATTTAACACTCGCTGATACAATGAAGGAAATCTCGTGAGAAAACCGGCCCAAGACCCATGAATCGACTCATGAGTGAAAGCTCACTTTCTTGCCTATTAAGAATAAGAAAAAGGTACAAAAATCTAAAATCTATCTAATCTAATAAGAAAAAGGTACAAAAATAGGAATACTCTATTAAGAATATTGCTAGTATTAACAAATAACTTTTATCACATTTCAACTTATCTTTAAAATTATCCCTATTGAATTTTAGGTTTTTAATTGTCGCTAATTAATAAGTAATCTACAGTGGCGTTCGATCCCAAGGTTGCCTTACGGATATTGAGATAACTATATATATTTAATGACATCTAAATTTCATACAAAACCGTTGGCATATCTGTCGCTATTGCAAGTAACATAATACCGTGGCTGATACAAGTTTTATCACAAAGGCATACGTCTTCATTGATAATTCTTCACTATCAAAGTCCTGTCTCTTTCGTTTGCTTATTGATCGAACAAGATGCATATATTCCTTATCTTGATTTGAATTCTGTTGTAATATTAAATTGCACAATTATATCTTCATGATAAGTGAATTAATATACGAAAATGTTTACGAAATGTGTGATTTGTTTACAGAATAATATTCAATATAACTATGAGGGAACATATAACGATAATAACCTTAAAAAATATAGTATAATAACTTAAATATATTATTAAAAGGAGTCTCTTTAGGCAAGGTTCCGAAGATTCTGGCAGCGTTCCTTTGAATAGCTCGTCTAATTCTTTGTCCGAGGTAGCTGCCAGCTCTTCGGTCTCCTGTGATGTCGACTAAATTATTTGATATTTCCTTAAAAAGCCTTATAGCGCTAGGATCTCACGGAGATTTGAGATTAGTATTTGATGTAATACTTAAGTAATATCTATAAAAAAAATTTATAATTGACTTTTTGGGCCTAAGGCAAGCCGGTTTCCTCACGATGTATTTCTTCACCGTTCGAGTGAATGTTAAATGCGCACATAAAAAGAAAGTCCATTGGTGCACAGCCGGGGATCGAACCTCCGACCTCAGGGATGAGAGTCGCACGCTGAAGCCATTAGGCCAACACTGCTCACATTGAATAGGCATGAGAAAAACATGCCTTAGTCCCAAAAATTCTGGACAGGCACAGATGGAACATAGCATTTGTCTCAATCTATGCTGTCAAATCTGTGAATACTTACTCAGTGGTGGGGCCAAATAAAACGAATCAATGCTATGTTTTTCCAGAGCCTTGACGAATGTTTCAGGTTTGAATTTCGGCATTGTTACCAATTTCAACCCAACTGCCAACTTGTGAAGAGCGACCACAGTCAAACCATATGAATGGTACATTGGAATAATTGCTAGTACAGTATCTTGATTTGTTTCTGAAAAAAAAATAAACCTTTCCTTAAAAACAAAATTATCACTAAAGCCGGGTCCACATTTGTAGCATTTCGGTGTATCGTATCTCCGTTGCGTGGCTTCGGCGCGTATCATGATCGTTAGTTTGGACGCAAAATGATACCCGTTTATGATACATGCCGTATCGGATACGGCCCGATCCGCACTAAGCGCGTATCTTGATACACCTCGTATCAGATACGCGTATCACGATCGGTGGTATGGACGTATTTTGATACTGTATCACGATACTGTATCGCGATACGATACTTGATACACCGCGAACCATCCTGTGTCGGTTTTTTCGCGATCATCAAAGGGAATACACAACATCAATGGGTGACATGCGAGTGAATTTTTTGTATTTTCCGCTGGTATGCTGAAATTTTAAATCTCGCATCAATGGTTTTCCACCATGTTTGTTTCGGTTTCTAAACACTTCCAGCGCCATCTACGTCTAGATTTAACTTTTTTTGAAATACTATTAATGATAATATAACAGGCGCTAGTCACCGCCAAACTGTGAGCTGACATGGCTAAACCGTTTGGGAACGAAGACATGACTGAACATTACGAGAAGGGAAAGGTGCACTGAAAGACACGCGCATCATGATACATCGGAAGAAAAGTGAAGCGTCTATATTTGTAAAGTTAAAGCCGATACACTGACATGATACAGCATTTGATAAGTATGGACGCGTTTTTTACAAGATACGCCTTAAATATACGACATGGACAAAATGAGCGTCCATATTTATGATACAGATACTAGATACGATACGACTGATCGTGATACGTCAACATGCTACAAATGTGGACCCGGCTTTACATTTCAAAACTCACATTAAGCTGGATCCACATTTGTAGCATTTCGGTGTATCGTATCTCCGTTGCGTGGCTTCGGCGCGTATCATGATCGTTAGTTTGGACGCAAAATGATACCCGTTAATGATACATGCTGATACGGCCCGATCAGCACTAAGCACGTATCTTGATACACCTCGTATCCGATACGCGTATCATGGTCGGTGGTATGGACGTATTTTGATACTGTATCACGATACTATATAGCCGGGTCCACATTTGTAGCATGTTGACGTATCACGATCAGTCGTATCGTATCTAGTATCTGTATCATAAATATGGACGCTCATTTTGTCCATGTCGTATATTTAAGGCGTATCTTGAAAAAACGCGTCCATACTTATCAAATGCTGTATCATGTCAGAGTATCGGCTTTAACTTTACAAATATAGACGCTTCACTTTTCTTCCGATGTATCATGATGCGCGTGTCTTTCAGTGCACCTTTCCCTTCTCGTAAAGCCGGGTCCACATTTGTAGCATATTGACGTATCACGATCAGTCGTATCGTATCTAGTATCTGTATCATAAATATGGACGCTCATTTTGTCCATGTCGTATATTTAAGGCGTATCTTGTAAAAAACGCGTCCATACTTATCAAATGCTGTATCATGTCAGTGTATCGGCTTTAACTTTACAAATATAGACGCTTCACTTTTCTTCCGATGTATCATGATGCGCGTGTCTTTCAGTGCACCTTTCCCTTCTCGCAATGTTCAGTCATGTCTTCGTTCCCAAACGCTTTAACCATGTCAGCAATTGCTCACAGTTTGGCGGTGACTAGCGCCTGTTATATTATCATTAATAGTATTTAAAAAAAGTTAAATCTAGACGTAGACGGCGCTGGAAGTGTTTAGAAACCGAAACAAACATGGTGGAATACCATTGATGCGAGATTTAAAATTTCAGTATACCAGCGGAAAATACAAAAATTTCACTCGCATGTCACCCATTGATGTTGTGTATTCCCCTTTGATGATCGCAAAAAAACCGACACAGGATGGTTCGCGGTGTATCAAGTATCGTATCGCGATACAGTATCGTGATACAGTATCCAAAATACGTCCATACCACCGATCGTGATACGCGTATCGGATACGAGGTGTATCAAGATACGCGCTTAGTGCGGATCGGGCCGTATCCGATACGGCATGTATCATAAACGGGTATCATTTTGCGTCCAAACTAACGATCATGATACGCGCCGAAGCCACGCAACGGAGATACGATACACCGAAATGCTACAAATGTGGACCCGGCTTTATGTTCAGTCATGTCTTCGTTCCCAAACGGTTTAGCCATGTCAGCAATTGCTCACAGTTTGGCGGTGACTAGCGCCTGTTATATTATCATTAATAGTATTTCAAAAAAAGTTAAATCTAGACGTAGATGGTGCTGGAAGTGTTTAGAAACCGAAACAAACATGGTGGAATGCCATTGATGCGAGATTTAAAATTTCAGCATACCAGCGGAAAATACAAAAATTCACTCGCATGTCACCCATTGATGTTGTGTATTCCCTTTGATGATCGCGAAAACAGACACAGGATGGTTCGCGGTGTATCAAGTATCGTATCGCGATACAGTATCAAAATACGTTCATACCACCGATCGTGATACGCGTATCGGATACGAGGTGTATCAAGATACGCGCTTAGTGCGGATCGGGCCGTATCCGATACGGCATGTATCATAAACGGGTATCATTTTGCGTAAAAACTAACGATCATGATACGCGCCGAAGCCACGCATCGGAGATACGATACACCGAAATGCTACAAATGTGGACCCGGCTTATCGCGATACGATACTTGATACACCGCGAACCATCCTGTGTCAGTTTTTTCGCGATCATCAAAGGGGATACAAGTCGATATGTCATACAAGTTTGGATGTGAATGCAATGAAATAAACATTGTTGAGCTAAATGTAGTGCAGTAAGTAAAGATGCACTGAAAGACACGCGCATCTAGAAAAGATACATCGGAAGAAAAGTAAAGCGTCTATATTTATAAATGCCGATACACTGACATGATACAACATTTGATAAGTATGGACGCGTTTTTTACAAGATACGCCTTAAAAATACGACATGGACAAAATGAGCGTCCATATTTATGATACAAATACTAGACGATACGACTGATCGTGATACGTCAAGATGCTACAAATGTGGACCCAGCTTTTCATACACTTACTAAAAATAGTTTAAATATAAATAAAGTAAAATGCAGTTTACATATCAAAAGGCATGGCTGCCCACAACACAGGGAATCCTAATGTGGGGACCAGAGCACTTTACTTTACTCAAATATACTGTAAATTGTGTACAATATAGTTTATTCTTTCTTTTCTTTATATGGTTCACATATACTTAGAACTAGTTGAGCGTCTTATGAATAAATTGACTAACACAAAAATAATTCTACAATTCTGTACTTTTAACCATTAATTACAATACATTTTACCATTGCTTTAGAATAAGATCTCTTATATAAATACTGTTTTTCATCACTTAGAGTCTCCATTACGGAATAACAAATGAAACATGCCCAGATGCTTTTGTATTTGATTAACAACTTCAACTATCTAAGATCGACAAACCAAGAAACGTGTTTCGAGAAGTGTAAGAGTGATTAGTCTGTGTGAATGCGGGATTAAAAGCTGCCTCCTATTGTTATTTGCGTCTTCAGAAAAAATATCAGAAAGGGTGAAATGACAAAAGGCTACGCTCGCTTGAATCATACCCATATGCTTCTAACTTTATTATTAAAAAATACTATAATTTCTTCTATAGGAATACACGGTCCGATCGTAAAATTAGTATCATGTGACTAGAATGAATCTTCAAATTGTACGGCTATTCTTCGGCCAAACTGGACCAAAATCCTAATCCTGGCTTGGAAGTTTTTGTGTGTATTCGGTTAAAGAATAGGTATTTTCTGCCACCAATCCCCATTACTTTAACTTTTGTTTGTTGTTAGTAATTGTTTTGTTATAATTGTGGTTTGATCTCTTGGCGTTGTGTAGAGATCAAGGGGTATCTGCATCTTCTACCGCATTTACCATGGAAAGTGTTCAGAGGAGTTGTTCGGTCTAATACCTGCAGCTGAGTTTCATCATGGGACCTCAAGGCAGAATACGAAATACCATCCGTATCACCTCGACGTCCGTCGTTCCTCAACTGAGCGTTTCTTAGGGCAGTTTTTTCAACGCACCACCACTATGTGAAACCAGCTGCTCACTGAAGTATTTCCGAACCAATTCGACTTAGGGTCCTTCAAGAGAAGAGCGTACCAATTCTTAAAAGGCAACGCAACAACAAGGCACTTGCGAGGCTTCTGGCAATGTGAGTGTCCATGGTTTGCCTCCTATTACATTACTAACTAAACTATCTTAAGCTTTATAATCTAAAAAAATATGTTCTGTAGCCTTCACTAAGCGTAAATTAAACTACAACTTACCAGTAGTAAAGTCATACATTCGTAATTCTGTATCCTGCTGCTTACAATTCGCAACGATATTTCTATTAGTTAATTCCACGCCTTTAGGCAATCCCGTAGTTCCGCTAGAGTATAGCAGAAAAGAGACATCTTCTGAATCCCTTTTAATCTCTTTAAGAATACTTAAATCAACGTTTGTGTTATTAATGATTTCTTTATACGAAATTGTGCCGTCTTGACGGTTGTTTTCCACATCCATGACAATTATAGGAATATTTTTCTTTGCCAGACATAAAGCCTCTTGAATTACGGGAACTACTTCTGGGATTGTGAATATAAGTTTAGTATCTGACATCGCTATTTGTCTTTGTACTTCATCTGTAAGCAAGTGTTAGGTTTATTAATTACTATTTACTATAGTTGTTCGGCGGTATCTAACGCCTAATAGGTACCCGATTATTCTGCAAATGTACCTATCTATTATTTTGGTCCAACTTCGGAAATGTTTAACGACGATGAAATTAAAAAAAAACTGTAAGTCAGTAATTTTTTTAATATGACGCGAACTTATGAATTGTGAACCGAACATCGAAGTCATTAAACATTTTAAATAAAAACACCGTCAATGTTCCAGCAATTTTGGAGCCAAAAGGCGTCGCAAGAGACGATGGCTTTATACTACTTGTGTGGACCAAACTTTTTAAATTTGTTTTGATTTTCTTTTTAATAATTTTTATTATTACTTTGTAGGTTAAGAAATACACTGTATACTTGTTCGTAATATACATATTACAATATTAAAATTTCATGATTGTTATTTCATATTAAATTATAACTTTAAAATGGAGCATATTAATTACTAAAACATGCATCAACTCTTCATTTGAATAGTGGTCGTGTTAAATTAAGCTCTTTATCGGTTTTATCAATTTTAATCAAATTCGATTGAATTTTAGCTCCCGTTTCCATTAATATAAACCTTGCATGAAATTAATTAATACTTTGTGTAAAATTATGATTAAAACTGTTTATTGCTATATAATGAAGACAAATTGTAAAAGGAATAATATTTGTGAACGTACAGCAAAGGTTTCTGTTTAATAATAACCTTAAAGAGACAAGAAAACTATCATGTCAAACAAGGCATAAAATGGGTTCGCTATCGTCATATAAAAAAAAATATTAAGAAGCGCTACGTGGACGTTTTAGGAACTAAACGTATAAAGAGTATTAATACACTGTGTACTAGCAAAAATATTAACTCATTTGTTTTGTTCAGAGATTCTAGAGTTACACAGAATCAGTTTAAAACCGTTAAAAGGTACTTGTTGTTTATTCGATTTTCAAATATTATTAGATCTATAATTAAGAGATACAGCCATACAACAGCCAGAGCTCCGACATATATTATAAAGAAATACTTTCTTACTACTATTGAAAGACATACTTTTTCATTAGTGCCAAACAGAGACCCAAAACCCAACCCAAAAAATTCTACAAACCACTGACGTATTTACGCGTATATTAAGACAGTGAAGTAAAAAATACTGTTTGGAAGGCCCATGATAAAATTATTTATCCATTTGCAGTATGTATTGACGTTATTTAAAGGGGTGTCCTAACTAATAATAACGACTAAATCTACCTACATGTTTTTAAGCTATTGCATACATTTTATCGCGGGCTTTGAGCGCAGCGACCGAATCAAGAAATTCCGTAACGAAAATAAAAACCTAACACACTATGACGTAATATAGCTGCGGCCAATACGCGTTAAAGCGGGACAGAACGCATACTGCGTCTCACATCGGTCTGGCGTGATCGGTGACGTAACGCATGTGCGTTAGAGTGGGACAAAGCGCATACTGCGTATTCACATCTCTCTGACGAGATCGGTGACGCAGCGTAAGCGCGGCCGGTGCAGCCGGTACGCGTTAGAGACGTTCCGACGTTCCCACACGTTTTTTTTATTTTTACATAGTCTTTGTTAGTAAATAGTCCGCAAAAGATTTTTGTCCTTCTAGCAATTTGTTCCGATTTTTCTTAAATAACATCAATGATACGAGTGTGCTTATACTTACACGATGTATATACTGGATTGAGAGTTGTAACAACACCCCCAGCTGATAATATGCCGAGTAACGTGATGGGGTACTCCGGCAAATTCGGCATCATTACTGCAACAGCGTCGCCATCTTGTAATTTGAAGTTCCGTCTCAAATGAGCCCCTAATATCCGTGAATGTTTGTACAGCTGCCCATATGTATAGTGTCTGTCGGTGACTCCGCATACCTAGAAATCAGAGATTTTTATATTATACTAGCTGACTCGGCAAAGGTTGTTTTGCCATGTGTATATATTATTTGCCGTGTATATTATTACTAGGAATCATTTTTTTAGTTCAATAAAAATAACTATCAGTAATAAAAAAATAGGGGTTGATCGTAGAGGGGTGAAAATTAAGGGTTGTATGTATTTTTGTAAAAACAAAAAATTTTATCGAAAAAAGATCCCTTATCACTTAGGGGTTTGAAAGATAGATAGTAGCCGAGTCTCAGACTTACTGAATATGCATAAAAATTTTCATAAGAATCGGTTGAGCCGTTTCGGAGGAGTATGGGAACAAACATTGTGAACACGAGAATTTTATATATTACATTTTTTTTATACAGAACTGGACCCAGGACAGACGTATGGACGCAATGCAGATTTACTGCACTTTATCACCCCCCCCCTTCTTTTTGGCGATTTTGGCAATCAGCAACTACTGTCAATCAATTTTAGAACTCTTTGGTAACCTAATGTAGTATATTGCATTCATTTGTCATTTGTTTTTGTGAATTGGCAGCAAATCTAAACCTCTTGTTACACGTGAAAATGAACCTAACACAAGAAAATTTTCGTTATTGCAGCAAGAAGTGTTTATGGTAATATTTCCGGCAACGGCGGGGTCAGTACTAAGTTTAAGTGTGGTAGTAAACTAAACAACAAAACTGACTTTGATAACAGATAAAATCTAATGCAAAATACGCGTAAATCGCACATGTAAAGGTGAATGACACATGTAACCTTGAATACAATTTTGTCATCGTTACGTTGTTGACGTTATTGTACTGTATGTGTGTATGTATCTCATCGGCTAGATATTATACATGTAACACCATTCGTGTTAAATTATTTAAAATAATTTCATATAAAAAAGTATAAAATAAATATAGATGTTGTTACTTTTCCATTTATTTATATATCTTAATCTGGCCCTTTATGATTAATTATAATTAAATAATACATCACATACAACTTTACTAAACAGAATAAACGACTTTTAGATTTAGTAAGTTTTGAGTAATCACAGCACTGGTACTCTATAACCTCCAATAGCGAAACAGATAAGGTTTTGTATACAATTTAATTTCGTTCCATAGCGCTGATTTCGCAACCTTATGATCGCGGGGTACTAAAACTGAAGTCTTATTCGCAATTGCTATCGCTTTTGAGTACTAGTGCAGGATCGTATTAATAAGTTAATTTAATAGCGGGAAAAGCTCGTTCATTGGAAAATGAGGTTGTATTTTACAGTTTAACACGTTCGGTCCAACAACGTCTCATGACGTTAATTTTAGAAATTCATAATTGACACAACGTTTAATCACGTCGGCTTTTAATTTCCATTTATTCACACTACGTTCCCAAATAGTACGAGATCCCGCTGCAGGATTGGTGTGCTCATCGACTATTTGTCTAAAACCAAATTTTTATGTTTATTTATAATTAAGAGAATATATATTTACTAGGGTGCCTATAAAAATTTGGCCGCCATTATTTTTAATTGATTTTTGGTAAAAAAATTCGTTCATTTATTTTTTAAATAAAATAACGTCTACATCACGGTAATTAATATGAAGATTCTAAAAAATCACGGGTGCCGTTGCGCACCTGGCCGCACCTCTTTGCAGCCAGGTGTAAACAGGTATGATTTCGATAAATTTATACGTTTATAACCTATTTTTATTAATTATATGTCAAATTGAAGCTAATTTTTTTCTATTAATTATCATGTAAAGTTGCTTAATTAAATCTGGCCGCAAATAAGGGCTACTGGCTGTTAAAGATAATAAATATTTAAGGTAGAGTGAAAGAGAGTTAGCGCGTAACATCATTTGTCAGACGAGGACAGCGACTGTCGGCTGTGCGACGCTTTTAAGCCATTGCGCATGCGTCGAAAATAAATAAAATAATAATGTTTTTTAAATAAGAGTTACGGAAATAAAAGAGTTATAAGATTAATTTTTTAATTTGCTTAAATGTTTAATTAATATGTAATAGACAATTAATTACTTGAATAAAATCTAATAAAATTTTTAAATAATACTTTCGCAATAAAATTTTCTTTTACTTAAGTCACCTTGGATTTTTTTTTATTTTTTAAATTAATATGAAATCAGTTTTTAGGAAGGTTTTGCGAAAATCCGATACACGCGCACATATTCACATACGCACACACAGAACGTTGGTAGACGTCACGGGAAGTAGGGACGCGGCTAGCTTCAGTCATTTTGCGCCGCATCAAGAGAAGCTCTGCATCGCTCGACCGAATTGAAGTTTCGAAACAGTAAGTTTATTGTAATACATATATTTATTTTTGATTAATATTTATAAAAAAATAACTAATATATATTTATTTTAAAGTAACCAAAAATCTATTGTTTTAGATGAATAAAAAGCGACTATGCCGTAAGGGGTTTCTGAAGGTATTTGAAGATTCTTAGTCCCGGAAGTTACTCCAGATCCCTTCAGTGATGTCGGAGAATACGGAAGTGACAAGGATTATGATCCAGAACCTATAAATACTGATAGCGACAGCCCACTTAGCTACTCACATTCTTCCTGTTCTGAGAATTTTCTACACTCAAGTAGTTCTGAAAGTATTTTCGTTACCAGTGTTCGCAATAGGCAAAGAAAAACTACTTCACATAAACAAACGAACAGTACAGATACGAACGATGCAGATACTATTTCCATGTAATCTCTTCCTGGTTATGGTAAATAGTCGAATACTTTGTGACATAGCGTTATATAACGTCGACGTCTATTAACGTTGTTGTCCAATCAAAACTTAAGCTTGCATACATGAAGAGCACAACGTTAAGAAACGTCATTCCAATTTGTATGAAAAAATAGTGTGTCGCGACGCGAGACTTTTTACGGCGGCGCTGGGCCGAACGTGATAAGTTTTACTTTGCAGCCTATGATGTTCTAGTTTAAGTTTAAAAAATCTACTTCTGTTAATGTTTCTGTTTGTTAATAACAAACTAATAGTATAACACAAAGAACGGTTCGGCTATTCGTCTCTATTCGATAAAAAAGGCATATTATACAAAGGAACAATTAATAAATAAACAATGCCAGGAGCCTTTCAGTACAAAAACTTCTCGCTCAAAACATACATAATAATAATAGGTAACTCTCACACAGTTTATTGTGTTTTTATATTATTTTTATTGCTCTTTAATGTATAATATTCTATGCTTTCGATATTTGTAAATATGTGAGGAACATGTATACTAACTTTTTTAGTATAGTAGTTTTATTCTATGAGTACATTGTCTTCACATATAATTATTTAACTAATGTATACAAAATATTGTAAACCTGTTTTAAAAGAGTAAGTGTGGAGTTTCTTGCCCATTCTTCTCCACACGAAACTAGCTTTTGGAAGGGGCAACTAGAATCTTCTTTATATTTTATTTGACGTTCAAAGGTGCCATTTTAGGTGGTCTAATTGAAATAAATGATTTGACTTTGAATATAATAACATAAAATGTGGAAACTACTGCTACAAGCTAAACAATAAACTCAAACGTGACGATGTGTCGAGTCAATAATAATGGATTACTCTTAAGAAAATTAATAAGAAATATCTATTAAAACATATATGATCTTCTATTTCTTAGAATACATGTCTTGTTGGATGGAAGGATGGAACTGAGATCTATAATAACTGATATCATGAATTTTTAATTTATTTTAAGGGCTCCAAAGCCTCCTTAATATTACTTACACTACATAGAAGTCGTAAAAAACGTTAAAAAAAGGTAAGGTTAGGTTGGGTAAGACCACTGTCGACAACTAGGCAGGAGACCAAGCCGAGCGACAGTATTCCAAGTACATTCGTGCAGAATGGATGTCGAAGAAGCTGCTATAGTAGCGCTACTAATCAAGAGAAAGAAAAATAAAAGAAAATCAAAAGAGTATTGGGTACATCCTTTGTTACAAGAACGACGATCAAAAGGAATGTTTAAACTATTTTATGAAGACGTGAGAAAATACCCTCGTAAATTTTTCAACTACGCAAGAATGTCTGTGCTTTCGTTTGATGAGCTATTGTGTCTTTTGAAACCACATATAACTGGTACAGATACAAATTTGCGACCATGTGTTTCTCCATTTTTGTGCGCGACGTCCGGTCGTTACGACAGTTGCTCGCAGTGTGAATGCTTCCAATTGAAACCGTGCTCCTATTGGTCGCCAGCGACCGGCTGTCGCTTGTGTGTCGCCACGACGCGGCGAGTCGCGCAGTCGCTTGGGCAACCGACGACCAAGTGCGTAGACATCTATTTAAACTGTAGAAACTCACAGTCGCCGGCGCGCGGAACATAACGAATCTCAACAGTAACACATCCAAGACAAAAGGGCTGGACCCCTCCCGTCGGCGTCTCGGAGCGCGCAGAGGACTCGTCCGCAGGTCTGCTTCGCTGGGCTTCCCTCGGGTAACCGAGGGTCTCACCCGGTGTGGTACGACCGCGCCCGCACGCGCCCGTTGCAGCCACGGGGGGGCGCCACCAGCCCCACCGACATGAGACAAATGAGGCGCTGCGAGAGCGAAGACGCTCCGCAACGCAACCGAGGCTCAGGGCCGCTCCAGGCCCGCCCCAACGACCGCCCCGCCGTTGAGCGGGGCGCGAACAATGCAACCCCCCGCAAGCCCAAGGGCGTAACGGGGTTCCCAGCGCCAGCCTAGGGTGATCGCGCGGAAGACAGCAGACGCGGAGTCGCCGGCGACTCGGTCGCGGACAAGTCGACAGTGCGTAATAGCTCTTAGTGTCAAATATTTGTACCTTCTTTCATTCATTTCAAAAATCACGATGTTTTAATAATTTCTATGGGATTAAAGACAATGCGCCACCACGTTATTGTTTGATACACCATTGCCGTGAGATGAAAATGTAGAAAAAAATTTGGAGCTGTCTTAAGGTCAAGCCGTGCCTCGACAAAATTACCGTATTAATGTCAAATATTTGTACACGTTTCATTCATTTCAAAAATCATGATGTTTTAATTAATTTCTATGAGATTAAAGACAATGCACCATCACGTTATTGTAAGGTACATTGCCGAGAGATAAAAATGTAGAAAAAATTTGGCTGTTAAGGTCAAGCCTACTCGAAAATTACGTATTTGTCAAATTTTGTACCTGCTTTCATTGATTTCAAAAATCATGATGTTTCAATTAATTTCTATGAGATTAAAGACAATGCACCATCACGTTATTGTATGGTACATTGCCGAGAGATAAAAATGTAGAAAAAAATTTGGAGCTGTCTTAAGGTCAAGCCGTGACTCGACAAAATTACCGTATTAATGTCAAATATTTGTACCTGCTTTCATTCATTTCAAAAATCATGATATTTTAATTAATTTCTATGAGATTAAAGACAATGCGCCACCACGTTATTGAATGGTACATTGGCGAGAGATAAAAATGTAGAAAAAAATTTGGAGCTGTCTTAAGGTCAAGCCGTGACTCGACAAAATTACCGTATTGTTTATTACGAACAAAGATATAACAAGATATTTTAATTATCAGTTATGGTTGTTGTTATCCAAATTATATGGAAAGGCGATACTTTTAAGCTGCCAAAATTTGAAATAGACCTACATGTACTAGGTACAGAGTGAAGTCTGAGCTAAGTTTGTACTTCATACGTCAATACGTGGAGTCGTATTTATCGCTTAGTCACTTAGAATCTGTCCATAGAATTCGTTTTGTTTTAAATAAATGTATTATAAATCACGCGCAGTCTAAAACGAAGTTAAGTGCCTCTACAATGTGCAAAGCTAACTTCATGGTATGACAGTGTATCGTATTTACTTGCAGGAAATTACGAACAACTCTATAACCTTGAAACAACAGCACATAAAACCAAGGTTTATGAATTTTCGAATAAACTACGTATAACCTGAAATTAGTTTTACTATTTACCAATATTTTTTAGGAATTCATTATAAAAAAACTAATTATTTACATAACTTCATTGTCTTTTTCTAAGTTCTGTGAAATGTGTTAAGACCACGTCAGTTTAAGGATGGAAAAGTACCAGGGCACCAGAAAGTAGATTTCGTATAAAAATAATGTCTAATTAATATTAATTCCAATATTATAGTGTCTAAAAATTTGTTTGATTAGTTAGATATATAGGAACTACTGAATATGTAAAAATCTTTTTATTTGGCATAGTCCATTTACCGCAGAAGAATATTATACACATGTACCTATTAGTAGTAGGAGAGATGAAACAAAAAGTTGGAAAATTATTTTTAAGAGTCGCTTAAACAAAATGCTGGCATTATTTGATTTCAGTGAATATCTATAAGAGACAATATATTTTAAAATAATTCCTCAACAAAACATACTTCGGAACGTTTAGTCCGCAGATAAATTTATATACATTTATAATACTTTGAATACACAACTACAAATTGAATTCGAACACACATTCTTTTGTTCGCATTTATATTACTTTTTAAACAATATTTTTAAATGTGTTTTTAGTATGTTAATAAGGCAATACAATTATTTACAGAGAATAAATCTAAATGAATAAATACATATTATAAGCGATGATTTACGACATAAATAATTGTCAAAAATATCAGTAGCCTATATTATTACTAGTATATTATTGTAAAATAAAAATATTAAACCCAAAATTATCCAGTTTATAAACGAATTAAGTAAATTGTCTGTCAAGTGAAAGTTTTTACATCAACTTAATATATTAAATAAGAAAAAATGTAATAAATAATAATTAATTATCTTAGCAAATGTTGTATAGAACATAGTTTTTCGTTAGAAATACATACCACAGCTGTTTTGTTCTCCCATTTGTGTATATTACTCAAAATATATTCGGACACAGAAAAATTTGGTATTTCAATATCACGGTAAGGTGATTTCACAATTCTATTTTTCGTCCACACATGATTTCTTCTTAGAAAACTCACTATTCGACATTCCACGATTTTTTCGAATCGCGACACAAACATTTTAAATGTGTTACGTATATAAGATATAGGTCTCGAATGAAAAAGCCGGTGTCAAGCGTAAGTCGTTTTATCATATTTTCTAATCGACAGTTAAATGGTGTTATAATAATACAATATCCAACGAATTAGTTTAAAAAGTTCCACTATTAATATGTATAGGAAATTTTTAGTGTTACTCTTGCGTTAATTTGCTAGGGTTTATAGTTACTTTATCATAATCAAGCATTAACTTACAAATTAATTATAATTAAATAAATTATAAAATACTTTAAAAGGATCCGTAAATTGTAAATATATATAATAATTACTCATCCTTGATTATTATATAAGGTTTATCATAAAGTGTTTCAATTTTAAACATTTAAGCTTGACAGAATGACTAACTACGAGTATTTAACTGTGTAAACAAATATTTTAAATAAATAAATAAAATCAATAAATAAGTAATATCTGTATGATATTTCTCCCTACTGCGATTGCTTTTATCTTTAGACTAACGCTCTATATAGGGATTTTTTTCTGTACTACTTTTCTCCAGCCCACAGCCGGGATTAAAACATTCATTCATACAACAAAATAATGATCGATACCAGTATTTTAAACATTAAATTTATATCTTTTTTTGTATTAATGAACGTGAAATCGTGAGCTGTTAAATCTTCGCTTTCAATATCAATTATTCCAATATTACAATTGCAAAGGAGCGAATGAATTGCATGTCCTATATTTAGATTTTCCTTACAGGACATGTGGTTCAGTTTATACAATCTGTTCAACCTAAAGATTCAAGTTGAACCGGGAACCGAGACATTAAACCACTTTCGATTTAAAAAATTCTGTATGAAACGATCGTTGCGATCAAAAATTATTTATTAACACTTATCACCAATTTCAAAAGCTTTGGTCGTATTTTTTAACTATTTTAGGCATCATTCAAACATTATCTATTACCTATTGAAACGCTGAAGTAATAATAATAATAAAAGCCATTAATTTTGTATACGTTATATTTCTATCATCTCATTCTTTTTAGATATCTGCGTGCACTATTTTGGCAAAGGCCTCCTCTAAATCCCGCTATTTCTATCTGCACTATGCCACTCTCTGCCATGTACCAGCAGCTTTTTCCTTAATCAGGTCTATCCACCTTCTAAATTGTCTTCGACTTGGCAATAAAAACATGGCGGCATATTTTTATTGTGACATCTGCTTAGTTATTCTTCGTAATGAATTTATTTTATATATTGATACCTCGCTCTATCGATTTTTGACACACCTGTAGTTTTGTATGCTGCTCATAAGTGGGCGCCCAAGATCGAGATCCATATGTTAGTACAGTACACAAGTTGTTACGGACAAATAACAATGTAATTAGAAAGCTGGTTAACGAAGCTGCCAGCCAGATGTTGTTCTAGGAATTAGGAAACGGTCGGCGGGTGCGCAGGTAGCGGAAGGGTCGCTCGGTCCCTTTTACAAGCGTGTAGTTTAGGCTTAGTTATAAGTTATTATTTGTATACCTTTAGATACATTTACGCAGCCGCGCTGGACGGACGTTAGTTATAAGCTTGCTTCGCTTTTACGGAACATTTACAACTCCACTTATGCCCGAACCCAATAATCAATCCACAATCTCAGATTGAAAACAATCTGAGAAGATCAGACCGTGACAGTCGATCGATCTCCGAACTGCATCCCACTAACCAAACCCTACGAAAACAATCCATTTTTGGCGACGGATAAAATGCTCTTTGTCGTTCCATTTTACCGCGTTTTCACTCATATTTGATAATCAACGTAAACCAAATAAAATAAATAAAACCGTACAAATAACATTAAAATATACATGTGTTTAAAAGTGAAAAACATAACAAAAAGTTTTTTCAATTATTTAAAAAACTGGTGTAACTTGTAAGTTAAAATCTATTAAAATAATTAACTGTTGAAATCGAGCTTTCGTCAACTGTAATTTTCATACAAAGGTCTATCCACAGACACCGATACGACCTGTCATGGATGGCTTGTATCGACAGATGTCTATTACAATCCGTCGATTGGTTATTGGCACACTTGTTACAACATTTGGATTAAGATTACTATCTCAGATGGTGGATTATGGATTGAGGTTATTGGGTTCGGGCGTTAGAGTTTCATTTCGAGATTAGCGTCGGTGGTTCAGACTTCAGATCGAGCCGTCGTACGCGTATACAAGTATTAGTTTAAGCAGTATAAGTTTATTTTTAAATACCATGCAAGTTTTCTTATTCTTCTCTTAACTTAACTTATACATAAAAAGACAGAGTGACATGAAACGCAGAACAGCTGGTTATCTACTATTAATATCGTCTATATAGCGTATCAACTTTTTAATTCAAGGCCTCTTCAACATATATTTAGACTCGCATGGGACTCGTAGTTGTATCTTATTCGGCCTTGTCACAATTCTTTTGACCTCTGCATTATTTTTAATCTACTATCAACGTTGCACAAAATATATATTTGAAACGTGATTATGCCCGATGCCTTAATGAAGAAAATTATTAAGTATTAAGATAGATATATTGTTTTATTTAACACTTATATCAAATAGCTTGCTTCATCAATCTACATTTATATGATTTATTTATTCAATAGGTCTAGTATGGACGACAGATACTGAGACACTCAAAAGCAGAAAACAAAAAATAAACATTTAACAAACAAAATCAAATTATAAATAATAAATCAGTGGCGCTACAACCTTGGCCTCAGATTTCTGAATCTGTTTCATGATCATTTTTTCAATCTAATAGGCAAGTAGGTGATCAGCCTCCAGTGCCAGCGACTTCTTGGGTCTAAGACATGTCGGTTTCCTGACGATGATTCCCTTCACCGTTCAAGCAAATGTTAAATGCGCACGTCCATAGAAGTCCATTGGTGCACAGCCGGGGATCGAACCTACGACCTCAGGTATTAGAGTCGCACACTGAAGCCACTAGGCCAACACTGCTCAAAATCAAATTATACTTAATCGTTTTCATAAATTTAATTAATATTTTTTTACTTAAAACATTATTTTCGGATATGCCTCTTAAATAGGTCCGATTTGTTTTTTTTTGTTTATGGAATTGATACGAATATAGTTAAGGTAAGGATAAGGATTTAATGTGTGTTAAATGAAATAAAATTTGTAATTAAAATAATTTAATAAAAAACTGTAAATACTTAAAGACGACCAGTCCAAAGTTTGTGCCCTAATTCCATAGTTACAATGTTGTACAAGAATATAATATAAAAATACTATGTATACATACAAATGTCCAAATTTGAACCGCGTTCAAAAAATATTAATATATTTTAACAAAAATAGATCCCTGCTTATATAAGTGCGATTCTTTACCTCTATTTTAAGCTATTGCATAGATTTTATCGCGGGCTTTGAGCGCGGCGACCGAATCAAGAAATTCCGTAACGAAAAAAACCTTGCGCGTTAGAGTGGGATAGAACGCATACTGCGCATTCCCATCTCTCTGACGAGATCAGTGACGTAGCGTGAGCGCGGCCGGTGCAGCCGGTACGCGTTAGAGTGAGACAGACTATATAGGCGTTAAGTCTGAGTCTGGTAGAGTGGTAGATTAGAAATAATACCAAAGAAAAAACTTGAATTAATATCAAAGAAAAACAAATACTGCATAAATAAATAAATAATTATAACTGCATAAGTTGATACAAAATAGTATGCAATAGCTTTACCGCGGCAGTCCCCGAGTGTCCACGCGTTTTTTTTGTTACCCTTGTTTTTGCAGTGTATGTATCACTGCGGCATACCTCATAATATATGACATATATTCGATATCATGCGTTCTATCATTTGAAGTAAATCGCCATTCAAATCTATCAGGCCTAGTTTATTATTAGTCCAAAGACTTTTTATCATTTTACAAATAAACATTTCGAATACTTTTATCTTATATAAAACCGAACAACAATATTAAACTTTTCGTTTGTAAAATATAAAATGCTTAATACCTAGTTTGTATATGATTTTTTAATAATATATACATTCCACAACAGTAAAATATAATAATACCCTTATAAAAATATAATTCATTTCCTCTTATTTCATATAAGTTTTTTCTTCATAGTTTTGATTCAATAATAGAAAGTGGTCCCTTTTTAGAAGCTTAATTAGAAAACCGTCTTCCAATTTAACTGGTGAACGAAATTGAATTATCCCAGTACAAAGTATTCTTTATTACAGAAATACATGTTAATGTTACTCCAATTATGGTAATTTTTCTAAAATATTTAGAAAAATTATTTTATTTTAGTTTTCTGAAATGACCTGCCACCTTCAATCTGCGAACTCCAAGGTATTCTAGATTAATCTTTTAGTACGTCTGTTGGCTTGGGACTTCAATTGCAATAGTTATAAATATGTAAAGAAATAATTATATTTCTTATATTAGATTCTTTAGATTATTAATTATATATTTTGTGTTAACTGATGTTTCATTTAATTTGTTTGTTGAAAAGACGCTAGTTTTGGCTTGTCATTTAAATTTGAATACCAAAATTTTTTGTTAGAACATTTTGCATTATTTATAAAAGAAATATGATCAAGTGATTGTTTTCAAGTAAAATAACAAACTCTAAATTATGTTTTTTTAAATACAGACTTTAGCAACACATTTGAGTTTCATTCATCATATAGTATTTGATTTTATTTCTTTTTTTTTTCTTTTTTTTATTGTTAACTTTCTGTTTTGTTTAGTACAGTTGTCACTCCAAGATAGTTTGATCAATTGAAAATCAGTGTTGCTAGTGACAGCAGCTTAAAGCCGATTTAGGCAAAATAACTTTAATCCAAAATGGGCTTAACTCTATTCTCAGTTTGTATTATTTGTTTTCGCTTTAATGAAATAGATGTTTTTCTTGTCTTTCTGTTATTTAAAACTCTTCGTCTACAACTGTAATCATTGCAACATGAAAAAACAGCCTATTTAAAGCATCAAAATACAAAATTCAAAGAAATAAAATCAATTCATCTCCTTCAATTCCTTCCTGAGTATCTTTCCTGATGCTGTTTTCGGTATAGAATCTATAAACACTACGTCATTCACTTGTTTATATGAAGCTACTCTCTCGTTGACAAAACTGGTGATGTCTTTAACGTTAGCTTTGGCGTCATTTTTAAGTACTATGAAGGCCTTCGGTGCTTCTCCTTTGCTGGAATGTGGAACTCCAATGACAGCCGCATCTTTCACTGAAGGATGGTCGCGAAGAACTGCCTCTAGCTCAGCTGGAGGTACTTGGAATCCTTTCACCTGGAATGAGGAATTTTGAGGTTAGAAAATATTTAGATAACTTGATTCTGTTTATATGTCAGGGAATGCTCCGATTAACAGGAAATGTTCTGATCGAGTCAATAGACAGTTGATTTTTATTGTTGCTTTGTTTAAGAATTGAGATTTTTTCTTTTAATTTTAAGAATCATAATTTATTTTGATTAGATTTGTTTTGTTATTATTTAATTGTTTCATAAATTAGAATCATTATTTAACGCATAAAAGTACGAATATTGTTACGACCAATCAGAGCCGAGCTAATGCCTCGAGTGGGGACGCGGCGCCATCTTGACTTTGAACAGTGTGTTAATTATGGTTATGGTGTGGAACGCAGTACTGATTGAGTATTCAGTGGAGCATTGTGGTGATGAGATGTTGGGTCTATGTGATTTGTGGTTGGGTAGATTGTGATTAAAAGCGAGATCGGTGCCTTGAACCCGCTCCTCGTTATAATTTAAGCTAAAAGATTTATTTGAAATGTTAAAAGGAATCATCTTTTGTGCTCCCACTTTACCCACACTAATTAAGCCCGTTAATGACGATGTCCACAATAAAACATTTAATGTTAATAATTGTGGGTGGACATATAAAATTATTTTATGCCACGCAACCCTTCCTATAGTCATTCAGGGATGCATGCAATTTACCTAAGAAGACCAGGTCCTGGTCTCTAATGGACCAGGAAATTGCTTACCCATTACGACCGTTGCGCTAACTGAGGCTAAGGCAATGAAGATGCCATAGAAATTGACTCATAATACTCTTGTTTTTTCCGTCAAATTGTATTTACGCTATAATTAAAAGAAAGATTGGTTTATTTTTTTAAAGGGTGTAATTGTATATTTACCTTATGACTAAAGTGAAATGTAAAAATGTATTTGTGATATATAATACGCCTGATAAAATAAGACGAATATGAAAAATCAACCATTTTCTTAAACGTTTCGCGTAAGTTATTTAACTAAATTGAATTTGGATTGGTAAATTGAATATAAATTCAAATTCAAAAATCATTTAATCATATGGGTAACACATTGTACACTTATGACTTGTCAGTAAAGAAATACATATTAATGCTTCTAATTTTACATTTAGTGCCAGTTCTCAAATCAAGGGCGTAGAACGGAAGAGAAGAACTGGCAATAAACTCTCCGCCACTCTTTTTAATCACCATGTTTTCTTTACACAGCGTTTGTAAGGAGCTGCAACCATTAAACCATGTTCCACATGACATCTTAAGTAATTAATAATAATAACATAAATTAAAAACAAAGAGTTGTCCTCTATCAGCAGGAGGCATGGTGAAATAGGAGCACGCACTTACATTCTCGTCGGAACAACACGCAAACACATAGTCGATGTAATTAACATCACCGCATACACGAATTCAAGTACGACCAGTCACCACAAGTAGCACCCGTTCACGAGTATGACGCATGGCCAGCCATCGGCCCCCTCGCCATATTTTAAATATTTTAATTGCCGTAGGATAAAATCGATGTTATATAATGGCAACACGTTAACTATTATATGATTTTTGTAAATAACGACACGAAATCTTTTATAAATATTAAGTAATGGAGAGAAATTCAGAACTCAATCACCTTTGGTGGAAGACACTTAAAAATCAAAAATAATATGGTCATAAATTTTATTCGGAAATAATAATTTCTATATCAATAAAAGAGAAAATAAAACATAAAGTTAGGACATGTATCGTGATACAAGAAAATGCTGGTAGCATTTTCGTGATACAAGAAATCGTGAGCGAAGAAAGCACCAGCTCTGGGGTCACCGGTACTATCTACCAGGCGCTAACTTAACTCTTTAATTAGCGCCTGTGCACTTGAACCCCAGGCCCCACGAGTTTACTCCAAAGGGAACAAAATCAAGTTGGAGGAGACTTATATTATTTGATATTTTTGTTAATCAGTTTTTCATGTAGTGATTCTGATGAGTTAATTAAACTTTTAATTATACACTATAATGTTATCTTTCCGTATAGGCTATTTTACTTTGGCAGCTGTAAATATATTGGTTTTTTTTTCATTATTTGTTTATGCATGAGTGGTTTATTAGAAGTAAAATAATATCCTCTATTATTTGAATTCCGTTGACCAGGAACTAAGTTCGATATATAATCAAATAAATCAGTGGCGCTACAAGCTTTTTAGGTCTTGGCCTCTGATTTCTGTATCTGTTTCATGATCATCTGTCACCTAATAGGTGGTCAGCTTCCTGTGTCTGACACACGCCATCGACCTTTTGGATCTAAGGCAAGCCGGTTTCCTTACGATGTTTTCCTTCACCGTTCGAGCGAATATTAAATGCGCGCTTATATAGAATATCTATTAGTGCACAGCCGGGGATCGATCCTACGACCTCAGTGATGAGAGTCGATGTTATAAATGTTAGATATATATTATTAGTAATTCACTCGGATTTATTACCTTAATAAGCTCCTTAAATCTATCAACAATTTTGATGACTCCATTCTCATCGGCAACAGCGACGTCACCACTTCTAAACCAATCATCGCTGAATGTTGCAGCGGTCGCTTCAGGATTATTCCTGTATCCTCTCATGACTTGAGGACCTCGTATCAAAAGTTCACCGAGCTGCGAAAATGTTAAGATTTATTAAAACCTTAATAAAAATAAATTTAATGTTTTTTTATGTAAAAAATAATCAAAATGTAAATGTAAAAAATGTTCTGCCTTGCGAGTCTGTAACTCACTTTTCGAACTCACACAGCGGTGGTCGTGCTCAAATCAGCCGTAATAGTATAAGATCCCGCTATACAACGACCTTCACCGAGATGCTTATTTAATGAAACTTATTTTATATTTAATTTAATATGTCAATAAATATAATTCATATGGGTTGCCTAGCAAATTTCAGTCCAGAGTATGTTTAATTAATATTAAAAAAAAAAAAAAAATTATAATTTGCATGTAGTAAATTTTTTGAACTTTTTTCAATCAATATTTTTAATCAGGGTAGTATTATATATGTATCACTATAACCTTCTTTTATACTAAAGATGTATATATACTTTAGTGTCACATAAAAAATATACACATAAATAATTAATTGATTAAAAACAACCTAACGTTTGCATATTCTATGGGCTTCATACGTTCGATTGGTATAGAATTTATCTAATAATCATACCGGTGAAATGTTTAAAAAATATTTTTTTTAAATTAATTAAACATACTCTGGACTGAAATTTGCTAGGCAACCCATATGGATTATATTTATTGACATATTAAATTATATATAAAATAAGTTTCATTAAATAAGCATCTCGGTGAAGGTCGTTGTATAGCGGGATCTTAGACCATAAAGCTGTCATTTTACGATTTGGCATTCTGATAAACAATAAACTACAAGCTCCCACCTTATCAGAATGCCAAATCACAAAATGACAAAACCTAAAATATTCGATTTGATTTGGTTTCACCGAATAGGACTTTTCGATCGCATAGTGAAGAAATGAGTCGGAAATATATTCGACATTTTTTTTATATAATAGGAGGCAAACGGGCAGGAGGCTCACCTGATGTTAAATGATACCATGGACACTCACATTGCCAGTTCCATAATAAACATATTAAGCTATTGCATGGGTTCTATCGCGGGCCTCGAGCGTGGAGACCGAATCCAGAAATTCCGTAACAAAAAAACCTTGCGCGTTAGAGCGGGACAGAACGCAAACTGCGTATTCACATCTCTCTGACGAGATCGGTGCAGCCGGTGCGCGTTAGAGTGAGACAGACTATATAGGCGAGTTAGTCTGAGTCTGATAGAGTGGTAGATTGAATTAATTTATCACAGATAAAACTTGAATTAATTAATATCAAAGAAAAAAAAATACTGCATAAATAAATAATTATAATCGCATAAGTTGAAAAAGAAATAGCTTTACCGCGGTGCCACACGTTTTTTTATATTTATGGGTCTTAGTCACCAGTTGTTTAAATAATAATTTCCCAAAGATTAGCACTGGGGTCCAAATATAATAATTATTATTTTATTGTCTTTTGTATTAAATAATATTTAAGAAGTTTACCTGATTAGGTCCCAAAGCTTTCAAGTCTTGGTCGACAATTTTAAGTTCCGTACTAGGTACAGCATTGCCAACAACACTATAGTCTCTACACCCCTTTGCACCTACACACACAACCGGTGAAGTCTCCGTAAGGCCGTATCCTTGTCCAAAACGGATGTTCCGCTGAAAAATGCGTTTAATTGCTTAATATGATGTATTATCTATCTATATTCTATAGCAGCAGTTGTGGCCTAGTGGCATCAGCAAGCGACTCTCATCTCCGAGGTTTGATCCCCGGCTGTGCACCATTTTGGAAGAAGTTAATTAATATAAAAATAACCAATTTTTTATAAAAAAATCTTATACAATAAGAAAAAAATTCAACAGTTTAAAAAAATTGCAAAGTTTTATGAAAATCTCATAATATACTTATTGATTTATTACTTTTAAAATAAGTAAATTAATAATAAATTTTCTAACGATTGCGACATTCTATAATATTCAATAACAACGTTATATTGACATGTGCTGATCAAACCTTCGTATTTGAATAATCTTTTTAAAGCACATGAATAATAAATATAATTAAATTATTATATGATATTTATTATTTAAGTTAATATTTAATCATTTCAGTGATATATGCCGTCAACGCCAAAGAAGTTTTACTTCAATCGCGCGTAAAGGTTACACGCACACACTTTTTTGTCTATGTGCATTAAAGATTCGCTCGAACGGTAAGGGAAAAAGTCATGAGGAAACCGGCTTTCCATAGACCCAAAAATTCATCGACGTACTTGAGACACAGGAGGCTGATCACCTACTTGCTTATTAGACTGACGAATGATAATGAAACAAATACAGAAATCTAAGACCCAGATCTAAAAAGGTTTCAGCGCCACTGAGTGATTATATTGTTACGAAGGCGTGTCAACTGCAATGTTTCTAGATTTTTCCACTATTAAGAGAACTTTTCAGCAGGCTGAAATATATATACTGAGTAAAAAATACTATAGATAATATTTTTACCTCCACTTTAGCAAGAAACCGATCAGCATCAGACGCTGCCATGGGAGCTGCACCATTAAGTACTATGTCTAAATATTGGTATGTCTTTGAATTCGCCGCCGGGTGTGACGCCATCAGAAACACTGGAATTTTCGAAAAATTATCTTAGATAACTTAATCAGCCTATTACTGGATAGCAAATATAACTTGATTTTTTTCATTATTATAGATAGATAGAAGCTTATAATATAAAAATTAAACTAAACACAATACAAACAAAACAAGTAAAAACTAAAAACTTAAACCTTTTTTTATAAATAATGCAAGTCTTGTGAATTCAGTCAGTGTGCAACTAAATATACCCTCACATGCAATAATATTCAGGGTGCGCAAGACACGCGTAAATAGTGATTATCTGAGTGAATTTGTAGGCACACTGCAAGCAATTGCGACTGCTTACCTCTCCAACATTCCCGCATAATATATTTTACCTCTAAGGACCTTACAAAATAATATGTGATAGTAAGGTCCTTCTTTACCTCTAACTTGTTGTATACTACCATACCCAAGACAAACAAAGTTGGATACATAACTGGGTAAAATGGGTACACTCCATACAACCTCATGTAAATTTATTCTGAATACGCTAAATATTTAAACACTAAACCATAGTCCATTAAAAAAATCTACCATTACAATAGCATCATTATGTCGTGGGTCAGTTACTATTATATTTTTAAAATATTCAAATTATTAAGCATAAATATGATAATGAAGTCAAACAAAACAGACTACAGAAATTCATTAGATTTTAAATTTAATCTTTTTAATTCTCTCTAATTTAATCTCTTTTTTCGAAATGAATTAAAAATCGAGTGGAGCATGACGTACAGAGCCGAGCGGTAACGCAAGTTCGGCTCTGTACATATATAGCAAACCTACCTAGCATGCTACCGCGGCTAATAAATGGTCTACCCAATCAGATATTAGATTGCCTAACGCCAACCAACATAAACAGTAAATTAAAAAACTACTTTTATATGCATTTGTCGCGCTCCTAAACAAGACTGCTATGGTTACATTAATACAAACCACAGAGGTTTTCTAATGTAACATATTGTGATTATATTATATTATTTTGTAAAATAAAGAAATTAAAAAATAAGTAATAATAATAATTAATCTCTTTATAATTAATCAAAGTAATCAAATATAATCACAGATTCACAGCTGGTCATAAACAGCCGCCATCTTTTCTATAAATTGCAAGGTTGTTTAAATTATGAGATTTGTTTAAGCCTTTCGTTGAAATTGCTTTATCCGTTAATTTTTTTTTAATACTGTTAAAAGAGTTAAGAGGCTTATCAATCCTTATAGTTCATCTTTAACTAGTTTCTAAAAACAAATTATGACTAAGATTTCAAAACTCACATTACTAAAAATCTCAAACAATAATTTGTCAACCTGTCCCATGCTGATACATAAACTGAATCAAAAAAAAAAAAAAAAAGAAAAATGCTGAATCATAAAATAAAATACAGTTTACATATCAAAAGGCATGGCTGCCCACAACACAGAAAATCCTAGTGTGGCCAGTGCACTTAACTTTACCTAAATATCCTGTATATTGTGTTGTTTTTTGTTTCTTTCTTTCAGTTTTATTTTGTGAGCAGTGCTGGCCTAGTGGCTTCAGCGTGCGACTCTATCCCTGAGGTCGTAGATTCGAACCCCGTCTGTGCAACCATGTACATTCTTTCTGTGTACATTTAACATTCGCTCGAACGCTTAAGGAATACATCGTAAGGAAACCGGCTTGCCTTAGACCCAAAAGTGGACGGCGTGTGTCAGACACAGGGAGCTGGTTAACTAACTACTTGCCTATTATACTGACAAATGACCAGGAAGTAGATACAGAAATATGCGGCCGACATAAGAAGTTTGTAGCGCTACTGATTTTTTATATATTTTATTTTAAGGTTTACTATACCTGCAATTCACTTACAAGTGAAATAACTTTATTTTATTTATTCAATGGGTGAGACCATAAAAAATATATTTACGTGGACAAAACGCGTCATGTAATAAGCAGAAAGACTAAACTCAAACTTTATTCTTAACAATTTTTTTATTTTTTAATTAAGAGTCAACTAGTGGGTAGAGAAAACTCGAAAATGTGATAATGAAACGCGTTTTAATAAATTGTTGTTTAACTCGTCCTTAAAACCCATAAGGTATTATTATACTTTTTTTTAAATATTTGATTATGCATTTTGGACGGAAATAGTATAAAATTTCGATGAACATAAAAATGAGTAATTATCGTTGTTTTTTTTATTTTTAATATTATTATCAGTATAACTTGTTCCTTCGATTATTCGATTCCAAAATGAATAAGAATTTTGTTTTGCCGATTTGGTGGTGGTGGCGTGTCGTGGGTGTCGAAGACGCGTGTCTCCCAAAAGACCTTGTTAAATATTTTGGTCGGATGCTATTCTAACTCACCTATTGGAGGAGCACAGAACAGGACATTAACTTTGAACTTTTCAAGAGCGTGTAGAAATGCCTCTGGCTGAAACTTCGGAACCGCAACCAACTTGATTCCCTGCGACATCTTGTGGAACATCAGCACCGATGCTGAATAAATATGGAAGTATGGCAGAACCGCTAAAACCGAATCTTGGTGTTTTGCTGTAATTTAAAATTTAATGATTTACTTATGCACGAAACAGCAAATACAGAGTGTATTTTTAACGAAACATTTGTCTCTTTCTTACAAATTGTGTTTACGCTGTGATGGAAAGAGACAAAAGGGCACTTTAGTTAGCTGCAATTGGACAGATTAATTTTTATTATTGAAATAAATCAAATATATTGACTACAAGAACACTGTAAAGTGGGTTAAAATTGTAATAAGGTGAGAAACATTATTGATATATATTAAATAAAAGTCTAGTTTCAAACGACTGTAATAATAATGAATAAATTATTATTAATTTTACTAAATTATTTTTATAAATATTTGGTATATCATATAGACATATTAAAATAATTACGTAAATTTAATTATTAAGACACGGTGTGCCCTTGTAAGTAAACTGATTTTAAGTTTTTTTTTAAATGGAAATTCGATGTTGACCTTAGTGGTCTTCACAGCTCAGCGTGGTGTTTTGGCGAGCCTAGCTCGGCTAGTGCAAGCGCAAGGGTGTCTCCTGCGAGAATCGGACCTCAGCTTGGGCCGACGCGGGGTGGTCATTCGCCTTCCTCGGTGAAGGCGGTTTTTTACCCTAATCTTATTTTGAAACTGAACTTATTACCTACGACGTGTACCTTACAGGATACAGCCACCCATGGACATTTAAAATAATAAAAAAAATAAAATTGCCAGCCTTTGAGGAATAGGTACGCTCTTTTCTTGAAGGATCCTAAGGCCCTTCCACCACTGCTCCGGTCCGGCGTTGAAAACCGGAATGAGTCATGAGAAAAATATCGGAAGGCCGGATTGCGCTTCTCCACTATATCCGATCCGACAATAATCGATCAATGAAACCCATATACATACTTTATTATTAAAACGTTCTAAATTCTGAATATTGTATTGCCCTGGCAAGTTTATTACTTTTTTATATTGTCTATCTTAAAATATTATAATCTACTTAATAAATAGTTCACTAATACTAAGGTATTCAAATATAAATAAATAGCAACATAATTTGGTTAGGTCCAGGTTATCCAGATTCTGTCAACTTTAACAAACTATAAATAAACCTGTGAATAATAATTTAAAACCTCTTGGATATACTTGGACCGATAAAACACCGCGTTCCGATCTAGCAAGTTATCGGATCGTTAAAAACCGGATGCCGGATTAGTGGAGAAGTACGTAAGTTCTGTTGTGAGTTTCTAAATCGGATCGGTAATTAACGTTTGCCGGACCGGAGCAGTGAAGAAAGGGCCTAAGTCGAAATACTTTGTGAAGGATTAAGTCGAAGTATTTTTTGCAACGTAGAGGTTGTTAAAATAAAAAGTTATGTCAATTTAAACGTAAGTTACATTATCTATTTATTGGATATTGTGATTGTGGTGATTATTTTCCGTGTCAGTTAATATGAATAAAATAAATAGCAAAAAATAATTCAGTCTTTCCTCCAACTTTGATTTTGTTAAATTACAAAATTCTGCTTTAAATGTAACCAATAATATTTTCAATTATTATTATTACTATGTATTAGAATATTGCAAAAAGTTTATCAAAATATTAAAGATAAAGCAGGAAAAAATAATGTAATAAAAACTTCTTGTTATTAATAAGTGTGAATAAGATTTCATAAAAGAATTTCAAGGTAGACTGCACTTCACAATTTATATCAAAATATTTGGTTTTAAATACTAATATTGAAAGTTTAATTTATGATTGTCATCGCTAGCCAAAATTAACACAAGAGACCACCCATAACCATCTTCCGATTGGTTTAAATTTCCAATACTAATTTGGGTATGTGTTAATATAATTCTGACGCATCCATATTAACGAGTTTTTATATGCATATGAGATTAAATTATGGTTGTCATAATCTAGGATATATCCAACACAATGTCATAGGATCCTTCAAGAAAAGAGCGTACCAATTCTTAAAAGGCCGGCAACGCACGCGCGAGCCTTCTGGCAATGTATCACTTAACATCAGATGAGCCTCCTGCTCGTTTGCCTCCTGTTATATAAAATAAATCAGTGGCGCTACAACCTCTTTAGGTCTTGGCCTCAGATTTCTGAATCTGTTTCATGATCAGTTTTCAAATCTAATAGGCAAGTAGGTCATCAGCCTCCAGTGCCTGACACACGCCGTCGACTTTTCGGGTCTAAGACATGTAGGTTTCCGCACGATGTTTTCCTTCACCGTTCGAGCAACTGTTATATGCGCACATAGAAAGAAAGTCAATTGGTACACAGCCGGGGTTCGAACCTACGACCATAGGTATGAGAGTCGCACGCTGTGTGGCTACATGGCACAGGCCAGCCCTGCTCTATATTTATATAAAAAAAATATCCTAAATGTGTTCGATTTTTTTAAATAATTAAGTTTACCCTTATTACCTGTAGTTTCATTGTGACACATTATCTCTGGTTCATTAATCTGTTCACAATTAGCAATAATGTTTTTATGCGTCAGTTCAACTCCTTTTGGCAGCCCAGTGGTACCACTTGAATAAGGAAGAAAGCAAATATCATTTATATTTCGTTTTACTTCTTTTAGACACGATTTGTCAACGTGAACATCTTCGCTTAGTTCATTAAATGCTATTGTTCCATCAGTTGTGGATTCTCCGTTTGTTTTCACAACTATTATTGGTAAATTAAGTTTGGCTATTTTTAAAGCATCTCGAACTACACCAACTCTATCTGGGAGTGTCACAACAACTTTTGCATCAGACATCAGAAGTTGACGTTGGATTTCATCTGAAATTAAAACTTGATTGATTAGAATTATGACTTTTGTTTTTAAGTCAAGATTATTTATGAATGTTTACCTTTATTTTGGAGATACAGTCAAAATCTGTTATAACGACATCGAAGGGACTACTCATATTTGTTCGTAAAAACCGATAATATTAACAGCCGATGACGTTTTTATTAACCTAATACAATAGAATTCAGCCGGGACCTATGATTTTGGTCAATAAAACCGGTATATTTTTCTAAACGATGTCGTCGTAAACGGTTTTGACTGTATAATTAAAACGTAATTCTAGCCATATGAAAAAATATAAAATTTTATTGAAGTGTTAGGATCTTCTTAAAATAATAATAGAACTAAATTCGATTCTCAAAAAATAAAACGTTTAGTTTAAGGTTCCCACTATAGTATAGAATATGTATATTTTTATATTAATTATCATATATGGTTGCTTTATTAAATGTGGCTGCAAATAAGGGTTGCTGGTTAAAGACGATAAATATTTAAGGTGGCTGTACAGTGGACACTCGGCGAGAGCTTCTCGCCGGGAGTCTCGACCGAGAGGACCGAGAGAAGAGCGCAGCCTGTACACACTCGTTACGTTAATTGTATTTAAAACACCGTTAATAATGGACGTGGCAACTGCTGCTGCTGTTTGTCTTTGTGCAATGAGTTATTATAATTTTCTTCACGTTAACCATTAAAAAAAATACAAAGCCATGGCGAAGAAGAAGATGGGCACTATACACCGCAACAGAAATTGGTAATTAGGATCATAAAGTTTTAATATTATCCAAAATTTAATGATTGAACGAGTGTGTACAGGTCGCTCTCGTTTTACTCCCTTTGACTCGTGCGCAAAAAACCGACAGGCGACCGAGAGAGGCGAGACCAACTGCGAGGAAGCGAAACGAGACGAGAGCTCTACTGTACACTCTCGCACTCGGCCTGTCTCGGGGTGTCTCGACGAGTGTGTACAGCCACCATAAGGTAGAGTGGAACAGAGTTAACGCATAACACCATTTGTTAGACGAGGATAGCGATTGCCGGCTGTGCGACGCTTTTAAGCCATTCAATTCAATTAAAAATAATTTAATTAAACATACATTATCTCCTAATTATAGATATACATAAAAATTTAAAGATGAACGCACTAATCCTGCACCCAAGTCTCGTACTATTACGCTAAATAGTTAAATAACAACGTACGTGCAGTGTAAATAGGATTGACGGTTGTAATAACTCCGCCAGCTTCCAAAATACCCAAAGCAACCAGTGGAAAATCGGGGACATTCGGCAGGATAACCGCAACTGTGTCGCCATCACGAATGTTTAATTTTCTCCTGAGATTAGCAGCGAACGTATTTGATAATTTGAATGCTTGTTCATAGGTGTACCCACGTCCAGTGGCTGAACATATCTGCAATTATACGTTTATTCAAGAAAATTATTTAGATCGAAAATAAGTTTTCAGTGGGGCAGAGATTTCTCTTTTTATCAAACTTCACTTACGCCAATATTCTGGTAAATTATGATTTGATCATTTATTTATCTGTTATATAAACAATTTTACTAACTTACATAGTAATAATATCCCGTCTATATAATAAATGTATATAATAAATAATAATAAATGGTGGTTATCCCGTCCTGATCACATGATTAAAATTTTGAATCATAAAATTATGTGAGAATGTTCTATTCCAATAAGATAGTCTTTAATGTATGAATACACAGCAAAACACATATATTGAAAATAATTGTTTAGTATTAATATAAATTATATAAATTCACTATATTCACTTAATTCAATATATATATATATATATTTCTATTTGATATCTTCAGTGAAAGGATCTCTATAATAAAAAGCTATGTTGCACATGCTACAAATGAAAATATTAATTATAATTCTTGTGCGACTATGATTCCTATTGTATCTTTCCTCAGCAAGACACGTTGGCTTCACAATAGTAGTATTGTTCATGATTATTAACTATTATATGGTCAAGATTATAGAGATGATCTAGGTTAATCCTAAAACAGCTTGACTATATTTGTCCGTTTTAAGTAGATCTTATATCATTGAATACATAAACAAAAAGCCTAACGTATGACTATTTTCCAAAAAAGCAATGACAATTTAAATACTAAAGCTAAGGCGCTAAGCGTTTTTTTTATTTCGTACCACTCTATTTTATAATATGTAAAATCATAACATGTCAAAGATACACTTAAGTATTGTAAAAATCTTACCAAAACAGTTAAGGGTTTTGTGATATATTATACAAATATACAACCGTAGCCTTGAGTGGAAAGTTTGAAGATTATTCTTATGAGCTATGGCATATTAACGATAGTTTCGAAAAGCTTCGACATTCCATATTTTTGTTATACTTCTTTAGGCGCGTTATGAAAAATTGATGAGAGTTAAATTTTACGATGCGCGCGCACCGTGACACAAAATTAACAGAATGAAGTTGCCTACTAACGAATTCTTTTTAAACCAGCCGGGCGCCGAGCTTGCGCGAGCGAGATGGGAATAAGACAATCTACAAGTGAAAAGAAATAGAATATGCGTGAAGTTAGCAGCTATGCCAAGAATTTTGAATGACCATAATGACCTTTGTAGTACCTTTTAAACAAATAAAGGAGTTTTAATTATTTTTTCAAAGAAATTTAGCAATGCTTTTTCACAAAGACCTATTGTTACTTAGTTAAAAGGTTATGAAACATACATAGTTATTAAATTAAATGAATAATATATTAAAAAAATAAATAATAATGATTATTATTGTTAATAATTAAATAATATACTAAATATTATTAAAATTTAGTAGGTATATTATTCAATATAGTAAATTATATAGTATATTGTGTATTATTTACAATATACTAAAATAATATTTAGTATATTGTAAATAATTTAACAATATACTAAATATTATTAAATTATTAACGTTAAATATTTATTATTAATTGTCTTTGATTAACATAACTTTTATTCATTTAATAAAACACTATTTTGACCGGATTGAAGTTATGTATTATTATAAATTTACAACTATTTAACATAATTTTAAATTTATCCGACGTTTCGCGTGCTTTACAGCGTGCGTGGTCACGGTGACAATAGTAGTAAATTTATAATAATACATAACTTCAATCCGGTCAAAATAGTGTTTTATTAAATTTATTATTAATTATTTAATATTTAAAAAAAATAAAGAAAGCCAAAGAAGTATAACTTCTTACGCGCGTACATAAGTACACGCACCCTTTTTTATAGTTTACAACTGCACACACGACACATGTTCAGACTTTAGGTTAATGGGGCATCCACACGCTGGCTGTTTGTCACAAACACCGCAAAAAGCAAACGAAGTCCCAAACACCAACCACAATCACCCAACACAAACAGCCATCCACATGCTTGGCGAACGTTCATAACATTCCGAATCGGCAAACATGGCGGACGACGAGCTTGTTGCAGCTATTACTTTCGGGTTGACATATTTTTATTATAAATTAAAGCAAGAGAAAGAAAAAAGGAAAAAAAGAAGAAAGCAAAGACGATGGTGGATGATTAAAATACATAGAAAGCGTACAAGGCTTTAGACCTATTATTTGAGCTTTACTTTGCCGTGTTTTTTTTAATTTTACTTAAAAGTTACTTAAAAATTTCAGAATCGTAGGTGCTCCAATCAGACATTTTTTACGCTTTGAGCGCCAACGAAAGTGTAGCAAGTAAATACGTCCGCCTCCCGCAAGCTCGCGCGCATACTGATCGCTGCCAAACGTGTGGATACGTAGCAAACTGTTTGCCAAACATCCTTTGATCTGGCAAGATAAACCGACACCGATGCCGAACACTGCCCAACACGAACACAAACAGGCAAACAACGACAAACACCCATCCACACGTCCGTGTTTGCTGTTTGCTGTTAGCTGTTTGCCATTGTTTGTCAAGCGTGTGGATGGGCTTTAAGAGTTAAGACTTCCCAGTTTCGTTCAGTGATGCCTCATCCCAACTCCTACAGAATGTTCCCCCTACGAACTTCAAATATCCCTAAATATTGATTAAAAATCCCTAAATTTTTTATTGTATAGCTTGATAGGTAATTTCAAATATGAATTAAAAATAAATTTAATTAGTATAAAATTTCTGTTGTGGTTATGCGGCTGTATTTTACACATTTACATATATTAATTGAAGAGCTAATAATATGTAATCAAGTATAGATTATATTTTTTAACTCTTGGTATACATATATTTCATACATTATTATAGTCTTTTGTAATTTTCTAACCGTTGAGCCATTATTGAAGTTATACTTCTTTAGGCGCGTTATGAAAAATTGATGAGAGTGAAATTTTACGATGCGCGCGCACCGTGACACAAAATTAACAGAATGAAGTTGCCCACGGAAGATGTTACGGCATTGGACATAATTTAAAAACAACATTCGAATAATAATAGAATTTATGTTACACTTAATGTAAGAGAATAATAATAAATATTAATTTATTTAATTTTTCAAATGTAAACTGAGCTCTATTGACTATAAAGACTCCTTTTCCAGTCTTTGATTATTTAATTGTAATTAATTATTTGCATGCAATCAAAAACTATTTTTAATAATGCCAAAGAAGTATAACTTCTTACGCGCGTATATAAGTACACGCACCCTTTTTTTCTATCTTGGAGTATTAGCTATAGCCACGATTGGAGTTTGTATTTAGTTTAGTTTGTTGGTTGGGTTCGAGGATTAATTTAGATTGTAAAATTTACCCTTAAAAATCCCCCTGGACATCTTGTTTTCCCCTAAGTTTAAGGGGAAATCCCCCAAGTTGGCACTAAAATTGCAAATACGCCCACGGAGCGCTTCCTATGTTTTCAATACAAACATGTACCATGACTTTTCTATTACTATAGCTATTCGATTTTGCGTATTACTCCCGCCTTGACCTCGGCTGTATATATCGTAGCCAACTAGCTTAATTAGCCGTTAAATCAACAGCCTAGTCTCTTTAGTAAACAGCACCATTTAACTATCGGCCTGAATGATATTCAGCCATTTGATCAAAGAGCTAGGCAATTGACTTGAATCCATGACGTTAAATTTTTTGCCTATCCTGTTCATTTCCTAAGCATTAGCCAGCCAGTTTATTAAATGTTGTAACAAATGCTACGGCTGAATATCGTTCAGGCCGTTAGTTAAACGGCGCTGTTTAGTAAAGAGCCTAGGCTCTTGATTGAACGGCTATTTAAGCTAGTTGACTGCGACATATATACCACAATGGTAAGTAATTATTAGTGGTATAATGAAGTAAAATTGAAAAAAACAAAAGAATTGAAGTAAAATTGTTATTGTTCAAGTTAAAGTATAGTAGTAATAGTAACATATAAGGGCAATTAAAAATTCTATAAGACAATGTATCAATTAATATAATATCAATTACATTAAATTATTTTTTTTCTATCCATTTTAACTGGTATAATAAAATGTTTTTATCACCATCACAAGAATTGTAAAATTTATCATCCAATTTATCTACTTTAAACGAGCATTGTTATCATGGCAACACAAATAAATACGATTATTTTTATTATAGATTAAAATTATTTTCGAGTAAACAAACATGACGTAGGAGCACAATCGGCCACAATATAGTTGTTCATATAACTTATATGCAGTGCTAACATGCATCGCTATCCCTTATTTAAATTACTTTATAATCCAATTTAATTCCACTATCGCAGGCACTGAATAATAATAACAATGTGGCGCTACCCTACTACCTGTTGCCGGAAGGAACTCTTAGTCCAATAAGGAAGATGGAGTTGAGGGGGAGAAATGAGGAGATAGTACCGCAACTCATCATAGGGAAACGAACTGGTCTTAGACTGGTCACCTAAAGAGAATGAGAGTACAACAATGAGCCGTGGGTCTCTCAGCCAGCCCAGACAGCCCTTTTCGACGCCGTTGAAAGTACAACCCTATGGTTTGAGAAATCTGAGAGGTTTTTTTTATGTAATATCATCTTCGTATATCTTTTCTTCGATATTGCTGCTAAAAGTGATAAATGGTTCGGTCCAACTAGGTACGAAGTGGTCTCAAATTCTCTAGGATATATAGGCTATATATTTAGTGGAAAAGTGTGTATTCTCTGTAAGGGGACGTACGGTCGGAGTACAACGAGAGCATTGTAGGCCTGACAACTTAAGTCGTACCCTGTCGTGTTTTAAAACACTCCGACCTTAATTATTTTCGGCTGTGAACTGAACCCGAGACCTTATCATTTGCATACTTCACAAGGCCGTCCGAAGTCCCATATAAATGGTTCAGTTGGATGGTTTTCACCAATTGAAAGGTCTTTTAAAAACTCAATCGCGCCTCTTAATTGTATTTTTAATGCACATTTGTTATTTAATTAATAAATTAAAAATGTTAATTCTATTAAGACAAGTTAAATCGTTTTTTAAGAGCGAAATTGTTAACTTCAATAATCAAGGTCACTCCAAAATTCGACGATGTCCGACCTTTGTACGACAATGTTTTGATTCGCTGTATACATTAACACAAATCTATAAACGATTTAATGTTTTTGATTATTTATTAATTGACCTGCTTTTAAAATTATCTACAATAAACATTAAAAATACCCATTAGACAACTCAACTAAAATAGTAATGACATTTATACCTATCTTAGACCATTAACTATAAACTATGCGATTATAAATTAACTATTATTAACACTATCTGTCTCGCTCACATTTTATAGAATGTCTCTCTCCATCTTATTTAAACCAAGTTGTGGTCATTAGGAACGTTTTATCATTTGTTTTATCATAGGTTACATAAAACACTATTCGGGATGACGTAAGAGAAAAAAATTGGCAAAAAGTAAATATTTGTAACAACAGGAATGAAAAAACTGTCACATGGTGTACATTTTCTGGAATAAAAGGAAAATTTCCATAACTTCAAAATACATGACTTAATTTTTTTTTTTTTTTAATTTTTCTGATAACTGGTGTGGCATTACCTATGAGAAAATTTCGACTTGACGTCGACTTTTGGGACACCCTGTATAAAAATACTAGCAGACTCGGCCAAGCGTTGCTGTGGCTAAGATTTTTATTATATTACATAGTAGTAAACTATTCAATGGAGAACACCAGTCATGGGGACAACCATGCCTTTTTGGTGGTTATGCCATTAAATTGTAGCTTATGTGAAACGTTGGTACTTTCAACACAGCGCCATCTGTTAGATTTGTGACTGTCAAATAATATGCAATAAAATAATATTGCGGGTATAAATTGAGATCTAAGCTATTCTATCTTTTAAGTAAGATTAAACTGCACACGGTGTGCAAATTGAAATCGGTTAAGTAGTTTAGGTGTCCATAGCGGACAAACAACGTGACGCGTAATTTATATATATATTGAGACTAGCCGTTTCGCGCCCGCTTTGCTGGACGCTTTAAAATAAATTTTATGTTTCATTATTTTTTTTTTTCATATTTTTATTATTCTTCTTTTTAACTTCCCGCTAAGAAAATTGAAATATTTCGAAAATCGAGTTTTTAACAGATGTTGAAGTTTAGAGGTTCTAGGAAGCCTCCCCGATTGTTTCCGCGGTGAAGTCCGTATGGATAAATTTTCATAAAAGTAAAACAGCAATAAAAAAATGAAGGAACGTTGGAATTTAATAAATAAATAGCCATAAACCATCTAGAAAAATTTCGCATCGAATGGTGGTAGTTTCATGTCGATACGATCAGTGGTTTAGGCGTGAAGGAGCCTCAAACGAAGACCATTTTTCTTTTATATATATTATAGAAGATAACATAGGGCGTTGTAGCGCTTATAAGACAGTGGTTTATTGTTGACAATTGACATTCAGATTAAAAATCGTTATTTGGCTTCTGCATATTATGTATACATTCGTTACACAGTTATATTATTTATAATTCTTAATTAACTTACCGAAGCCGTCCGTTCGGGCCATTTATCCAAATTTTGCCATATATATTCGTAAACTGTAATATTTGGTATGTCCTTTATTTTTTCATATGGCGAATTTATTATTCCATCACTTGTCCACACACTATTATATCTAACACAGGATTCATTAAACTTATTAAATGTCCGTTTCAGTAGACGCAAACTCCTCGCCATTTTGACACGACTGTATGCCTTGCTGATGTTTTAATAACTGAGGTCTGAGTGAGGCCGAGACTTGAGACTAAAGAGGCTCGCCGCTCGTACTGATAATAATTATCTGTAAGAAAACGCAAATCTATTTCGTGTATTACCTAAAACCTAATTTAAAAGAGTAAGTGTGGAGTTTTTTGCCCTTCTTCTCCACACGAAACTTGAATCCACGAACGTTACTTGTATCAATTAAATACATTTACATTTATATGACAACTTTTAAATTTTAATCCATAAGACTTAATAACGGAAAAACTTCCACCTTTAAAAGTCCTTCAAAAGTTTGTAATAAATAATCCATATCGTAAGACTGCCCAGAATAATATGTTGAATGCAAATTTGACTGATACAAGTGTTTGAATTGTGTGTCGTAAAAAACAATTTCAAAATTCATGCCAATTGAGAGGCTTATCATATAATTTAAAGTAATAATAAACAGAAGGTAGAGATATATTTTTTGGTATTTCAAACTAACATTTGAAAAATACTAAATCTAAAGTCTTGTTTGGGTGTCCAATCATAATACTAACAAATTGGAACGCACAGAAGATTGCTCTACTTAAATTATCAGCAAAACTGAATATGCTTGATGTCTCATCGGGGATTCACAGTACTACCTAAACATATTATATTATTCTACTTGTTACAGGTGATAATGAACGTGTAGACAGATAATAAAAGGTAAAGTTATTCAATACTGAAGTGAGACGACGTATATGTAAATTGCATTTTGTTATTTGCAACTATTGCTTGGTAGCAGACAATAGAAACTTTAATTCAGATATAATACCTTTAAATGCTTTGGTGATGATGACTTACCAAGTTAGTACCGGTATACGAGTAGAAGGTAGTGAGGGAAATAATCAAACAGTTCATAAAATTACTCTCCAGAATTATCTAAATTTCCATGTAAACACGAAAAATAGGTACCTAAATAACGTACTGGTATTGCTATCTCATGCATGCCATACTATAGCTGTTGCCAGTGATCATTGTTATTCAAGTAATGTACACATGAGTTTTGATTATTAATAGCCAGTTTGCAGGCAGTATCTGGAGGTTTTAAATTATTTGTATCATATTTTTAAAACAAGTTTAAAGAAATATGTAGATTTCAAACTTCTACTAAAACTCGTACTAAATACTTACGATATATTTTATGTTTGTTATTGCTTGATTGTGATTGCTCTAATCTTTGTAGGATGCAAACTGCAAACCATTCACAATATCACTGACTCATGCTGCTATATTTAATCGTATATTTACGCAATGGAATGTCGTCCAAGCACGGTCGGAACCAGACTGAAACTGATTACTAAACGCGAAGTTTTGCTATGTATGTGTATTTGATGCAAACAGTTCTTTGTACGTATGTATTGCTCCGAGGAGACTCGTTTAACTTTCAAATTCTATCTTTAACCATAATTTAGTAACGTTTAAGATTAAGTTGCAACCCAGAATCTTATGCTTAGAGTCGATTCAACCAAACTTCAATTTATACACGAGTAACTATACCAGGAATAATCTATTCTATGATTTTAAGCTCGAGTAAATACGCGAAGAGTGAATGGTCAATGGTGAACGAAAATAAAACCCGGCAAATAAATGTTGTTCTGCAACGGGATAGTGTAAGAGCAAGCATCATGTCAACTAGATTTTGCCGTATTATATTGTGAAAAAGTAGCTGGGGCCTTAGTCAAGATGCCTTAACAGTAGTGTATGTAGAAAGTCGGAAACTAAATTTGATGGAAATGACAGTTCGTGTCGAAAAGTTTTCATACAAATTTAGTTTTTGACTTAGAGATTATTATTTGTCCTACAGAAGTACAGAGCCCGTGGATGGCTTTGCATAATCAAATGATTAAATATGTTACGTAATATACAAATAACCAAGATAAAAAACGCGCGCTTGCATATAATTATGTCATTATGTAATAGGAATACCAGTATTATGACGGATTTGGATGCAATTTATTACAGATTTTAAGCATAATCTATCCAGGCCTGGATTTAAGGCTGGCCCCAAATTATTTTCCAAATAGAATTTATAAAATTCAGTCGAGTTCTTTAATCAATAATTTATTGTGAAACCAAGTAGATTCTTTTAGTATTTAACAGAAATATAAAAAAATATGGAAAGAAAAATTGTTTACTTGTAAAATAATAGTACATAAACGTATTAATTTTTTGTAGGAATTCTCAAAAATGCATTTCGTTTTCAAGCATAGACAATGTGTGGGTAATATGTATGTGTAAAAGTAAATAATTACTGTTGACGTAATCACCAAATAATCAACCCCATATCTTCTCAGGTCTTGGCCTCCGATGGCATGCGTTTCTTTGATAATTTTATAAAGTAATTTTTTTATTTGAGATATGCCGGTTTTCACAATGTTTTCCTTCACCGTACGAGCAGGTTTAAGTGCGCAGACAGACAGTCCTTTGATGTACAGCCGAGAATAAAACCCACGACCTCACTAATGAGAGGCACGCTGAAGCCACTAGGCCAACAGTGCTTTTAATATTCTAGATCAGAGACATATTGTACGTTCTTAAACGCCTTGAAGAATATTTTAGCATTGTTATTGGTCAGTCGTAAAAACTCAGATTTTTGTATGTGTATAGTGATTATTTTTGTTAACAGACAAGAAGTGGGGCAGTCTTCTGTGCCTGACACACACCGTCGCTTATTAGGACTAAGGCATGCCTCTTCCTTCACCGTATGAGCGAGTGTTAAATGCGCATAAAGAAAAATTCATTGGGGCACCGACATGATTATGAAAAGTTGTCTTGTCTCTCATATAGACGCTAGTAGTTAAAAAATAAATCAGTGGCGATACAACCTCTTTAGGTCTGGCTAGACTTCTGAATCTGTTTCATGATAATTTTGCAATCTAATAGGCAAGAAGGTGATCAGCCTCCTGTGCCTGACACACGCCTTCGATTTTTTGGGTCTAAGACATGTCGGTTTCCTCACGATGTTTTCCTTCACCGTTCGAGCAAATGTTAAATGCGCACATAGAAAGTCCATTGGTGCACAGCCGGGATCGAGCCTACGACCTCCCTGAGGATGAGAACCGCACGCTGATTGCTGAAGCCACTAGGCCAACACTGTAGTGAAGTAGTTACAGGCGTAAAAACCACTTCGTATTAATTTACACTAAATTTTATTTAATTTTATTTTACACTTTACTAGAATTATTTCAGACTAGAAAAAAAAATATTTTTGTTGACTTTGTGCTGTCGAAATTCAGTTCTTTCTTTTCTTTAATATTTACGTTCACAAGGGTAACGTACTTACCAATATGATTAAATCGATTTTGATTTGATTTGCTTTAGTTTACATAGATTAATTTTAGTACATTAAATCAAACTCATAATAAACAGTAAATTTTAATATAACAAAACATTTCCATTATTTACAAGATAATAACAAAGAAAATAACAAAGGTAATTATTGTCTATGGCTAGAGTTACCAACATCTCTTCGGTGACAATATATAACTTCATGTAATCAGAGTATAAAAGTAAATATACATACTATAAAAACTAAATCATTCTAATTGCATTCCTTTCTCTCTCTCTTCTGTCTCTTACCATCAAATTGTCTTTACGTTTTAGTGGAAGGAGACAGAATAGTGGAAAGGGTGCAATTGGATTAATTTGATTTTTGTAGAATAATGATAGACTATTTAAATATTTTTTTTATTTCATTTTTTTATTTATTAATAAAATATGTTATAATATGAATTGTATTATTCACGTCGGAAACACATTCACACCCATTACATAGTTCCATGGATTTTTTTAAACAGTACCAATTCCAATTATTATTATGTAGGGAATCGAACCTTAGACTGGTAAATGCATTGATAACCTGGCATCGACCATCTTCTATATTTTTAAATAATGTCCAAAATACACATAAAACTCCTTTATATGCTAGTTTTATAAAACCATAATATATCTAACATTACTCCAACAATTTACAAATAAAATATAATCTAATAAGGATATTAATAATCACAATCATGTAAAGTAGTCTTTACACGTCTTCTTTGTATGGAACTGAGTCTGCTAAAACGATTTTAGTAAGGCTTTTGACTCTGTTAATCATACTTCATACAAAATATCAAACGCACTATAGACTTCTAGCTTCTAGCTAGAATTTCTAACAAGTATTCAGCCATTTTTTGTATGACATCACTTTTTCCTGCTTAGTAAGCTATATTTATACTATTGTCTTTGATTAACATAACTTTTATTCATTATTCATATAGTGACCACGCACGCTGTAAAGCACGCGAAACGTCGGATAAATTTAAAATTATGTTAAATAGTTGTAAATTTATAATAATACATAACTTCAATCCGGTCAAAATAGTGTTTTATTATATTTATACTGCAAAATTTCACTTAGATGTAATGTCATAAACGTTACTGCACATTACGCAAATTCAAAGACAAAAAAATAAAACTCTAATTCAGTCATAATCACTATTAAGGCCATTATAATCATATTTTTAGTGAAGTTATACTTCTTTTGGCGCGTTAGGGAAAAATTATGAGAGTAAATATTTACGATGCGCGCGCACACCGTCACAAAACACCGACACCTTGAAGTTAGCTATAGTCAACATTTTACTGTGTGATAATTAAATAAACGATAATGCGTTATATACTTTGAATGTATGAAATATCTTTTTTCAATTAGTGTCGTTTTTTCAACAAACATAGAATAACATTTTTGAAAAGATTTTTATCTTGTTACGCCAAAGAAGTACAACATACATAACATACACGTTTTATTTATAAGTAGATAACTTTTTGACTAAACAACGTGATATTCTAAGCGTACATTTTCTTCAAATCCTTTCTCAATATCTTCCCAGTGTTAGTTTTAGGAATATCATTAACAAATACAACTTCCTCTATTTTCTTAAACGCAGCTACCTGTCTTGCTA